CGAGGTGCGAAGCTGGCGCCCGGCCACCCGCTGGCGAGGCGACCCCGCCCGCCCTCGAGAGCAGCGGCGAAGCGTCCCGGCGTGCCGATCGGCCCCCCGGAGGATGTTCTGAGGGCCTTCTGCGGTCTGCGCGAGATGTTCTCAGGACACTTCTGGCCGAGACTGTCTTGTCTCATCACATCGGGCCTATGTTCTGAGAATATTGGCCTTGTTCTTAGAACACCGCTGGATTCGAAGAACATGTGTCGTGGTAGGCATATAGGAATGCCGGGACGGTCGGTCCCTGCTCAACGCCCGCGCGCGCGCCCGTTGCGGCCGTGCGCCGCGCCGCCTCTGCTGCTGCGCCTCCGTCGCCTCCCTGTCTCGGAGAAGAAGAAGAAGAAGAAGAAGAAGAAGAAGAAGAAGAAGAAGAATGAGAAGAAGAAGAAGAAGGAAAAGGAGAAGAGACAACGCCATCAGCATAAACTGTTGGTGCTCCGCGCGGATCTCTTGGATCCGCGCTGGGCCCCCCGGCGGCGCCTCCAGCGCCGCCTCTGGCACGCTCCGCGCGCCAGGGAGGGGGGTCCATCGCAGATCCAAGAAGTCCGCGCTGAGCGCCAACAGTGTATGTTTGTGGCGTTTTTCTTCTTCTATTGGCGTCCTCCTCCTACACGGTGAAGCAACATTTTGCATGCTGCTGTCCTTCCTCCCCAGAAGTTGTCCGGAAGATCCCCCGCCCCCTCCGCGTGCCGTTTTGCACACATGATTTCAGGAGTTTGTGTGTGTTGTGTTTCTGTGTTTGTGTTCCCGCTGCAGCTTGGGCCTCATTTTCGGATCGCCGCTTCGCTCCCGTCGTTCAGAATGGCGTTTTCGCCCCATTGCGGCCACTTTTCTGGATCCAAGTCTTGCTTCATTGTGGTCCCTCCCGATTCCCCCTCCTCCGCCTTCCGCTGGTCCTCCTTTTCCTTCCGCTCATTCCCCTTTGGTGCTTTCTGCTGCTGTTCGTCTCGCTCCAGCGCGGGCCACTTTTCTGAATCCGAGTCTTTCTTCATCATTGTCGGTCCCCTTATTGCCCCTCCTCCGCCGGCCCCTGGCCCTCCTTTTCCTCCCGATCCTTTCGCTTCAGTTCCTGCTGCTGTTGTTCGTCCCCGTCCTTCTCCTCCCGTTCATCCTCCTGCTCGGCCGCCACCTCCTCCTCCTCCTCCTCCTCCCGTGCACGCAGCTCTCCCTTGCCGATTGCGCATTCCACGAAGTGGTCGTTGTGTGGGAGTCGCAGGTCGGCTACGACACGCGCCCGCGGATAATGAAACACCAGCGCCATGGCAAGGGATGGCAGGGAGGGACAGGATGTCAGATGATGCGCGAGCGTGTTTAGCTTGTCTTCCCCCCTCTCTCTCGTCCTCCCTCGTTCCCCCTTCCCTCTCCCTCCTCCTGCTCCTGGATCCTCATCCGCCTGCTCGTACTCGTGGTCCCCGCGCCCTCCTCCGCCTCCTGCCCTGCCCTCCCCTCCATTCTCCTCTCCCTCGTCCTCCTCGGCTTCCTTCACCATTTCCCCCCCCGGCCTCCTCCCCCCTTGTCGTCTCCCTGCTGCTCCCAGTCCCACTCGTGATCATCCTCCCCTTCGTCTCGTTTTCCTCTTCCTCCTCCGTCACCCTCCTCTTCTTCCTCACCATCCTTATTGTGGTCATGCTTCTCCTTCGCTTCCCCGTGCCCCCCCTTTTCCCCGCCTCTCTCTCTCTCTCCCTCCCTCTTTGTCCTCCTCAAATCGAGCCAGTTCTCAAAAGAGAGATGGGGACCGTGGGTCACACTCCGTGTCCTCCACTTTGTGTAAGTGAAGGGGCGCGGTTGCTCCGAGGAGAAGGGGGAGGGGGGGGCGGAGGGCGAGGGGGCGGTCAGAGGCGAGGGAGAAGATGAGAGGCGAGGCGAGGGGAAGGGGAAGGGGAAGGGGGAGGAGGAGGAGGAGGAGGAGGAGGAGGAGGAGGAGGAGGAGGAGGAGGAGGAGGAGGGAGGAGGAGGAGGAGGAGGAGGAGGAGGAGGAGGAGCAGGAGGGAGGAGGAGAAGGAAGAGGGATGATGAGAAGAGAGGGGGGGAGGACGGATCCACTCCCTTCATGGTGCGCGTGACGGCAGAGCGAGAAGAAAGGGAAGCTTGGAGCCCGCCGCCGGCACTCCGAGTCCCCGGGCCCGCCACTGTGGGCGGGGCGCCTGCCCATAGGCCTGCCGGGGGGCTCCTCTGGCCAAGGCTGAGGGCGGCGAGCGAGGGGGGGGAAGTGAGACTCATCAGGAGCGAAAGAAGGACGTACATGTACATGAATCCACGCTGGTTTCGAGAGCACGCATTGCACAAATGTTCGTATAACGCGGTCGGTCTCGCGAATCGAGGGGCCGTGTTCATGTACATAGCTGGGCGCGTACGTCCTTTGTGGGCTCCCTAACTCAGGCGATCGCAAGCATGAACCAAGGGAGCGTGGATTGGCGGCGGGTCCCGTTTCCACAGGAAAACCGCGGATGCCCGCCGCCGAGCGAGGCGGCGCTGGCCGCCTTTTGGGGAGGGCGCCTCCCCCGATCCGTGGATTTGGCGACCGCGCGCCAAGTCCATGGATCGCTAATCCATGTTTGCGAGCCCCCGAAAGTGAGAAGGAGAAAGCCGTCCCAGAAGGCGGCGGGACATATCTTTGAAGCCCTCGCGCCTTCCCAGTTTTTCCCGTCTCCTCGGGGAAGGGTTTCAGAAATCTTCTCACAAGGTCGGGGGACTTCCCACCCTTCAAGCATCCCACGAAAACCGGACCGTCAAACCCAGGACGCGTTCGGCTAGAACGACCTCGGCAACTCGAGTTCCGGCTGGCTCGATTCTTATGTTTCCCCGACCTGGGCGAGCGTGGGGCGCGCTTCCCCCCCCCCCCCCCCCCAAAAAAACAGAAGAAGTTGAAGACGTGCGCGGAGAGTGGGGGACCCAGCATGCGCTGGGCGCGTGCGCGCGGGGTACGCGTTTTCACATGTCCACGGTCCCCAGGGGAGGACCAGACTTCTGGCCCGCAATATTCTTGACATGCAAAAGTACTTGCGCGGAGGGGGGAGACCCAACATGCGCCTGCCGTGTGTGCGCGGGGCACGTGTCTTCACGTGCTCTTTGCCCTTCCATGGGGTGAGGCCAGGAGGGCTCAGAGTGGGAAAATAGGAGAGAGAGAGAGAGAGAGAGGGGGAGAGAGAAGGGGAGAAAGAGGGTGGAGGGGGATGAAGCTGAGCTGGGCGAGGCAGGCGGTGAGAAGGACAACGAAGGAAAGGTGGACGAGCGACAAATAGGGTCAGGAGGCATGATGATGATGATGTTGACGACGATGACGATGGCGATGACGATGGCGATGGCGATGTCGATATTGATGATGATGAGTATTATGATGCTGATGCTGATGCTGATGATGATGATGACGATGTTGACTTGCATGATGATGGGGATGATGCTGATGATGGTGGTGATGATAACGATGATGCTGATGATGACGACGATTGTCATGATGGTGATGATGATGATGATGATGATGATGATGATGATGATGATGATGATTGTGCTAGTGATGACGATGGTTATGATACCGCTGCTGTTGCTGCTGATGTTCGCGATGATGATGAGGGTGATGATGGTAATGATGATGATGCTATTGCTGATGATGCTGGTGGTGATGATGATTGTGATGATGATGCTGCTGAGGATGATCAGGATGATGCTGATGATGATGGTGTTGATGCTGATGATAATCATCATCATGGTGATCATGATGATCATGATGGTCATGATGACAATGACGCTGGCAATGATGATGATGCTGCTGATGGTGATGATGATGACTATGATGATGCTGCTGCAAGTGCTGCTGATGGATTATGATGACGATGATGATGATGATGATGATGATGCTGGTGCTGATGACAATGCTGATGCTGATGATGATGATGATGATACTGATGATGCTGATGATGCTGCTGATAATGAGTATGCCCATGATGCTGGTGATGACGATGATGTTGACGATGATGGTGATGATGCTGCTGATGCTGATGATGATGCCGATGATGGCGTTGGTGGTCATGATGATGATGAGGATGAGGATGAGGAGGAGAGGATGACGTCGACGACGGTGACGACGACGATGATGATGATAGTGATGATGATGCTCATGCTCATGCTCATGCTCATGGTGATGTTGATGATGGTGATGATTATTATCATTATAATGATCATGATCATGATCATGATCGTGATTATGATGTTGATGCAGATGATGATGGGGATGCTGATGAGGATGCTGATAGTGATGCTGATTGTTGGAAAGAGGAGGCGGTGGACGGGCAGGAAGTAGTGGTGACAGTCCCAGAAGAGGGACAGTGTAGCACGCGTGTCAAAAGAAAGTTTGACTGAACATCTCGTACCGGGTTCGGGGCCCCCTCAGATTGTCACACAAGTTCTTTTCGCCCGTAGACTTTGGGAACCACAAAACACATGAGTTCTTATCACCCGTCCGCGACCGTGCGTTTTACAGGAGTTCCTAACGCCCGCGAGGCTTCGGGCCCAGCGCTGAAGTTGTAGGAGACGGCGGAGAGTGGGGGGGAAGGCGAACAACGCCGCGCAAACACACACCCTGCCAGAGAAAAGTATTGGCTGCTTGCCCTGGATATGGGGAGACACGTTTGGCGAATTCCGCGGGGTGGTTTCGTGTCTTCGGGAGGGAGAGTTCGTCGTATTTTTGGGGGGATGTCTCGCGCGGAGCGCTCATCTGCAGGACTTGGTGCGGATATCTCGAGCGAGGGCTTCGCCTGCAGCGAGGCGCTCCTTCTGCAGGAAGAGTCGAGGATGCCTCTCGCGAAATGTGTGCCGCGCATGGTTTTTAAGGAGGCCCAGCCCCCCCCCGCGCCCCGCCCGCGAGCTGCGCTGGCGCTCGCCGCCCTGCGCCAACGTTGCTTGGGCCAAAGTGCCTGCGGGCCACGATGACGAGGCCGAGCTGGAGGACGGCGAGGAGGGGGAAGGGGGGAACGACGAGGAGGTGGAGGAGGAGGAGGAGGAGAAGAGGAGGGGAAGGGGGGGAGGTGGAGCAGGAGGAGGAGGAGGCGGAGGAGGAGGGGAGGGGAACGACGAGGAGGAGGAGGAGGAGGAGGAGGAGGAGGAGGAGGAGGAGGAGGAGGAGGAGGAAGGAGGAGAGGAGGAACGAGGAGGAGGAGGAGGAGGAGGAGGAGGAGGAGGAGGGCTTCGGGGAGCCGGTCCGGCACTGCAGGGGCCGCGGGCGTCGCACAGCCCTCCCCTGGCGGGCGCGCCTGCGCAGGCCCGGGGGGCCCCGCCGCGCGTGGCTCGCCGCCCCGCGGGCGGGGGAGGGCCAGCAGGAGGGGGCCCCGCGGCGCCCCCGACAGGTGGACCCCTCCTGCGCACCCTCTCTGCACGAACGAGATGGGCACGGAAAGAATGGGCCGAAGACGACGACGACGACGACGGCCGAAGACGACGACGTGCCCGCGCGTGCCCGCGTGGGCCCTGGAGGTCTCGACCACTGCCCTGGGGCTCGCTTTTCGCCCCGAGTCGTTGACTCTGGACGCCCGAAGTGGGTACTCCAGATTGCGTAATCAAGGGAGGGGGGTCTCATTTCGGGGGGGGTCTCTTCCAGGCTATCTTGGAGGGCCTGGGGGGGTCTGGGGACGATGTTTTGGAGGGTTATCCCACGGGGGAGGTCTGAAATGGCTCGTCTTGGAGGGTCCAGACCCCCTCCCTTTTATTACGAAATCTGGAGTACGGAAAGAATGGGTACAATGCCCAACAGCAGTTCCTGTTCATTTTGCACAGGATGCGCTGTCCGCGCCGCCGCGGCCTGTGTCCGTTTGAGACAGGAGGCCGCCTGCCCAGCAGCGGCCGCTGCTGGTTTGGGACAACATCTGTTGTTGGGCGTTGTGCCCATTTTTTCCGTACCCACTTCGGGCGTCCAAACCCTCAGGCGATCGCAAACATGGAGTACAGTTGGCCCTGATTAGTAGGTCGACCCTGCCAAGTCAAGGGTGCCCTCGTGTCCTGTGTCTCGCGACCACTGCCTCCCACATTCCTGTGGCAGTGTGGCCCTCGGAAGGGTCGTGTGTCCTCTCGCGTGTCCTGTCCAATCAAGGCAAGGCCGACTGTAAGGGGGGTGGATGAGCGACGGGTGCCGTTTCCAGGGGACATCGCGGGTACCCTTGGAGACGGTTATCTGCCCACGTATTGGAGCGCGGCGCGTTGTTGACGAAGGGTCGTCGTCACCGCACGGAGCGGCCGAGCCGCGCCTGAGGAGAGGAGGGAGCGTCGAGGAAAATGCATCGGGGCAGGAGCACGAGACCACGAACTCTATGTTCGCAAGCGCCACCGCGCACAGTGCATTGGACATATGTCGGGGCAGGCTCACGAGCGTGAGTCTTTCAACGCATATGTATATGTACACGACGCTTCAGACAAAGCCACGCACACCTCAGTATAACATGCGTGCGGCTGAACAACTGCACAAGCACGGAATATTAGGGTCAACGCTGGCTGGGAACTCCCTTGGCGCGCTTCGCGCGCAGGGCGAATGAGGGGACGGGAGGTACAGCGCCGACTCAAGAACTCCACGCGTACCCCCTAACGCTTGCATATTGTTGCAGCTCGTTGTTCTTCTGGAGGTGCTTCCAGCCCCTTACTTCCCCGCGCCCAGCATCCAAGACGTGGAGGTGGAGTCCAACTCGGGCAGCGGGTGCCGTAGCCGGCAGGTGAGCAGCAATCAGGAGGACCGCCTCCCCGCGCGAGCGATTCTTTTTTGTTTGTTCGGCGCACATTCGCGTGGGCGAAACCACATTTGCCCGTGCCCCCTCCCTAGTCGTACTGACTGCTCCAACCACGATCTCTTCCACGGCGACGACTAGTACGATTCCGATGGTCTATGCTATTGCATCTAGTGTCGCTGTTGCTGCTCACGACGACCAAGGCTGCAATGATCGACATGTCGCGTATCCTCACCAACCCATCCAGCGACCATTCGTATGCAATTTGCTTCGATATTTGGGAAGTGTAGAAACATGTACTCACACGAGAGGGATGTCAGCGGCCCCATCGTTGCGACGAGGACGACGTCGACGACGACAACAGGATTCGATCATACATTCGTTCGTGAATGTTTCGTTCTGGGAACCGCTGGAGTGTTTCTTAGAGCCATTGTTGGGCCCTCTTGGCTTTCGGGGCCTTCGGGTCTCTTGGGGCCGCTTAGGGGCCCTTGGAGGCTGTTTGGGCCAACCCTGTGAACAATGCGGGCGTCCTAAACTGCCCCCCCCCCCCCCCCCTTGAGCCCGAAACATCGCATCTTGCCCCCCCATTCGGACGCTCTCGGAGTGCTCTTGGGAGCACGAAGCCTTTACGGGCCCCTCGTGGGGCTCCTCTCTGCGATCTTGGAGCCATTTTGAGGCTTGAGATGCCCATTGGGAGCGTGACGGCAAAACGTTACGACCACTCAGCGACTGCAAGTATTTGTACGGTGATGGCTTCTTCGTGGCATCCTTCGGAGGCTCCGTGGCCACCTCGAGCCACATTGGATCGGCATGCAGGCGTCGTGGACGCAGCTTTGAGATCATCTTGAGTTCTATTATGGGCTTCCGTTGAGCTCCTCCTTGGAGTCCCTCCTGGGCTTTCGTTCGAGCCAGCTTTGCGCCCTCGCGGGGTCGCACGGCTGCCGCCCTCGCGCGCCCCACCCCAGCCCCGGCCGCCCCGACCCAGCGGAGGGGGGCTGGGAGAGGGGCAGACCGCCCCTTCCCAACGGGGGGGGAAGTAGGGGGCCACATGCGAGCCCTACCCCTACCCCCCGCGATTTCTGAGGGGGAGGGAGGGTGGGGTTCACTTCGCTTGGGAGCTCCCGAGCGAAGTGAACCCCACCCTCCCCCTCAGAAATCGTGGGGGGTAGGGGTAGGGTTCGCATGTGGCCCCCTGAAAAGGGATCTGGACAGAGTGGCCCCCAGAAACCGCCTCTGCAACAGGGACCACTCTGGGGCTCAGGAGGGGGCTCCCCTTGGTGGCACGATTCGGGGAAGCGTCAGACTCGAGCAAGCCGGAACTCGGGTTTGTCGACTTTTTACCTAACAGCGAAGACTGATAGGTTTCTAGTAGGGTAAAAAGAGCTCACAGATCACTCCACAGGGGGGTCCGGGCAGGTGTTGGGAGTTGCCGGGCGGCAGGGTGCCCCGCTCGTTTTTCACCAACAGTCACACACTTCGTGCTCTTCGAGTTCCCAGAACTCCATTCCCAGGCCACATTCTGAAGGGCCGGATGCAACAGTCACACACTTCGTGCTCTTCGAGTTCCCAGAACTCCATTCCCGGGCCACATTTTGGATGCCCGGAGCCAACTGTAGGCCACTTCGTGCTCTTCGAGTTCCCAGAACTCCATTCCCGGGCCACATTTGGAGGGCCGGAGCCAACAGTACCACTTCGTGCTCTTCGAGTTCCCAGAATTCCATTCCCGGGCCACATTTTGGATGCCCGGAGCCAACTGTAGGCCACTTCGTGGTCTTCGAGTTCCCAGAACTCCATTCCTGGGCATGAATTTGAATGCCCGGAGCCAACTGTAGGCCACTTCGTGTTCTTCGAGTTCCCAGAACTACATTCCCGGGCCACATTTTGAATGCTGAGGCAGGCTGAGGCTGAGGCTGAGGCAGGCTGATGCTGAGGCAGGCTGAGGCTGAGGCTGAGGCTGATGCAGGCTGAGGCTGAGGCAGCCTGAGGCTGACGCCGAGGCTGAAGGCAGACTGAGGCTGAGGCTGAAGCAGGCTGAGGCTGAGGCTGAGGCAGGCTGAGGCTGAGGCAGGCTGAGGCTGAGGCTGAGGCAGGCTGAGGCTGAGGCTGTGTCTGTGACTGCCGTTGCCACTGCGACTGTCATCGCGAATGCGACTACGACTGCGAGAACAGCACAATTCTACAACTGGATTCTCATCTGAATCTTAAGGGGAATGCTTCCAGATATGCTCCTACACATCGCTGTTAGGTTGCTTTGCCGGGATAATTTTACCTAACAGCGAAGACTGATAGGTTTCTAGTGGTGTCAAAAGAGAGCAGCACATTACTCCACAGGGGGGTCTGGGCAGCCGTTGGGGAGCCGTTGGGGGGCCGTTGGGGGGCCGTTGGGGATTGCCGGGGAACCTCGTTTTTCGCAAACAGTCACACACTTCGTGCTCTTCGACCTCCCAGAACTCCATTCTTCGACCTCCCAGAACTCCATTCCCGGGCCACATTCTGAATGCCCGGAGCCAACTGTAGGCCACTTCGTGGTCTTCGAGTTCCCAGAACTCCATTCCCGGGCCACATTTTGGATGCCCGGAGCCAACTGTAGGCCACTTCGTGGTCTTCGAGTTCCCAGAACTCCATTCCCGGGCCACATTTTGGATGCCCGGAGCCAACTGTAGGCCACTTCGTGCTCTTGGACTTCCCAGAACTCCATTCCTGGGCCACATTTTGAATGCCCGGAGCCAACTGTAGGCCACTTCGTGTTCTTCGAGTTCCCAGAATTCCATTCCCTGGCCACATTTTGAATGCTGAGGCAGGCTGATGCTGAGGCTGAGGCAGGCTGAGGCTGAGGCAGGCTGAGGCTGAGGCCGAGCTGAAGGCAGACTCAGGCTGAGGCTGATGCACTGAGGCTGAGGCTGAAGCAGGCTGAGGCTGATGAGGCTGAGGCTGCAGGCAGGCTGAGGCTGAGGCTGAGGCTGATGCAGGCTGAGGCTGAGGCAGGCTGAGACTGAAGCCGAGGCTGAAGGCAGATTGAGGCTGAGGCTGAAGCAGGCCGAGGCTGAGGCTGAGGCTGAGGCAGGCTGAGGCTGAGGCTGAGGCAGGCTGATGCTGAGGCTGAGGCTGAGGAGGCTGAGGCTGCTGATGCTGAGGCTGAGGCTGAGGCTGAGGCTGAGGCAGGCCTGAGGCTGAGGCCGAGGCTGAAGGCAGACTGAGGCTGAGGCTGAGAAGGCTGAGGCTGAGGCTGAGGCAGGCTGAGGCTGAGGCTGAGGCAGGCTGATGCTGAGGCAGGCTGAGGCTGAGGCTGAGGCTGATGCAGGCTGAGGCTGAGGCAGGCTGAGGCTGAGGCCGAGGCTGAAGGCAGACTGAGGCTGAGGCTGAAGCAGGCTGAGGCTGAGGCTGAGGCAGGCTGAGGCTGAGGCAGGCTGAGGCTGAGGCAGGGCTGAGGCTGAGGCTGAGGCAGGCTGAGGCTGAGGCTGAGGCAGGCTGATGCTGAGGCTGAGGCTGAGGCTGAGGCTGAGGCTGAGGCTGAGAGGCTGAGGCTGACTGAGGCTGAGGCTGAGAGGCTGAGGCTGAGGCTGAGGCAGGCTGAGGCTGAGGCTGAGGCTGAGGCTGAGGCTGCAGGCTGAGGCTGAGGCCGGCTGACTGCTGAGCAGCTGAGGCTGAGGCTGAGGCTGAGGCTGCTGATGAGGCAGGCTGAGGCTGAGGCAGGCTGAGGCTGAGGCCGAGGCTGAAGGCAGACTGAGGCTGAGGCTGAAGCAGGCTGAGGCTGAGGCTGAGGCAGGCTGAGGCTGAGGCTGAGGCAGGCTGATGCTGAGGCAGGCTGAGGCTGAGGCTGAGGCTGATGCAGGCTGAGGCTGAGGCTGAGGCTGAGCTGAGGCCGAGGCTGAAGGCAGACTGAGGCTGAGGCTGAAGCAGGCTGAGGCTGAGGCTGAGGCTGAGGCTGAGGCTGAGGCTGAGATGCTGAGGCAGGCTGAGGCTGAGGCTGAGGCTGATGCAGGCTGAGGCTGAGGCAGGCTGAGGCTGAGGCCGAGGCTGAAGGCAGACTGAGGCTGAGGCTGAAGGCAGGCTGAGGCTGAGGCTAGGCTGAGGCTGAGGCTGAGGCTGAGGCTGAGGCTGAGGCTGAGGCTGGCTGATGCTGAGGCAGGCTGAGGCTGAGGCTGAGGCTGAGGCAGGCTCAGGCTGAGGCAGGCTGAGGCTGAGGCCGAGGCTGCAGGCAGACTGAGGCTGATGCAGGAGCAGGCTGAGGCTGAGGCTGAGGCAGGCTGAAGCTGAGGCTGAGGCTGATGCTGAGGCAGGCTGAGGCTGAGGCTGAGGCTAATGCAGGCCACTGCGACTGTCATCGCGAATGCGACTACGACTGCGAGAACAGCAGAACTCTACAACCGGATTCTCATCTGAATCTTAAGGGGGATGCTTCCAGATATGTTCCTACACATCGCTGTTAGGTTGCTTTGCCGGGATAATTTTGTCGACGAGCGCGTCCTGGATTTTGAGGGTCCCGTTTTCGTGTGATGTTTGCAGCGGGAGCCCGCGTCAAATTTCAGATTGGGTCTCGTCATTTTTATGATGACCCCCGTCGGGCCAACCCGAGTCCCCCGTACCCGAGTCTTACGTCTCCCCGAACGATGACTGCACCCCTAGAGGGCTGGCTGCTTCTACTGAACGTGGTACCGCTGCAGTCGGGGCGCTGAAGAAGGAACCCTTCTCGTTGGGGAGTGGCTCCGTGTTCCTTCATGGTTCCACAGCTTGCCTTAGGTGTTCCTTAGGTTTTCGATGGGAAATCCAAGTTAAACTGATGGGAAAAAGGGGCCTCGTTCCTTATTCAGGGTTCCTTAGGTCAACGCCCCGACTGCACCCTGGACTTCGCAATGAAAGGGAGGGTTGTCTGATCTGGGAGGGGGTCCGATCTGATCTGTCCTGGAGTGTCCCAATGGGTTCGTGGCCGAAGGCCGTTCTCTCGTGGCTGGTCTTGGGGGGTCTACAACTGCCCGTCTAGGACGGCTGTGACCCCCCCATATGATTACGAAATTCTAGACGCGTCGCGTGACCCCACCAGCCCATCCAGAAACGATGCCCAGAGGAAATTGCCTCGATCGGGGAAGTTGGCAGCACACAGAGGAAGGGTCCCCCAGTGGAGGCCTCTTGGAGCGTCTTGGGGGCCTCTTGGCGGTCCCAGACGCCTCTTGGAGCGACTTGGGTGCCTCGGAGAGCTTCTTGGGGTCTCTTGGGGCCTCTTGGGGCCTCTTGGGGGTCTGTTGGGAGCCTCTTGGAGGCCTCTTGGGCGCCTGCTGGGGCCTCCTGGGGCCTCCTGGGGCGCTCCTGGGGCGCTCCTGGGGCTGCCTTGGGGGCTCTCTTGAGGCCGCCCTGCTCGCCGCCCCAGCCGGCTCGAGGTCCCCCTGTCGCCGCCCCGTCTTCGCTCGCTTGCTGCCCGTCGCCGCCCCGTCGCGGGCCCGCGTGCTGTCCCAGTGGGCCTGTGGTCGCCCCGGTCGCCGCCCCGTCGCCGCCCCGTCGCCGCCTCGTCGCCGCCGTCGCGTCGCCGCGTCGCACTGCACCACGGCTTGCACCACATAGGTTCGCCTTGCATTTGGAATTCGCATCCTGCCCCCCCTGGATTCTCCGCCCGCCGTGTCGTATTGCAGTTTGAGCACGTCTGTGCCCGTGCGTCCATCCTAGAAACGAGCTTGTGCCATCCCAGCCCAAGCAGTATCGACCCTCCCCCGCCATCCTCTGCAAAACAATATGCGCCAACAGTATGTCATCAAGACGCACCCGCTTCCAAGAACCCCTTGCGACAAACAAAAACGGGACGAAGCGCAGACGCTCGCGTCGTCGCGCGCGCATGCCGAAACCTTACAAAACAGAGTTGCCGTATCGATTTGGAACTGTCGGGAAAAAGGTATGCGTACTGCTGCGATGTATTAAGAACACCATCGGTTTCCAGCATCATCATGCAATTATGCCATACAGGCCTCTCCCTCGCGCATGTCGGAATCATTCGAACGCCTTTGCGTGCGTGCTGGGCGGGCTTGATGCCTGTCAAATAACACCATGCGGGCCACTCGATCGCGTCGGTCGCGCACGCATGTCGAAATCGTTCCAAAACCTTCACCGACGCGAGGACACTGTCGTCGTCGTCGTCGGCGTGATCAGCATCGGCGCCGTAATTGGCCTTGTCGTCGTCGTCGTCGTCGTCATCATCGTCACCACTACTGCTACACTCATCATCGTGTCTACCGTTGTCGACGTTGCCACGATACCGCGCCCGCCCGAATCACCGACTCGCACGAAAGTGCCCGCGCGTCAGCGCGGCTTGCGAGACGCGCCCAAATGGGTGGGTGGGCGGAATGATGGCACGAGCAGTGGGGCTGTCAAATCTAAGTTTTCGTTCCAATGTTCAACGCATCACATGCATTGTGCCAAATGGACGGGCCAATTTAGATTGCAAGATACATCTGGTACCACGGAGCATGCACCGCATATATCGCGCCACGCAGCTCGCCCCCCCATCCATTGCACCACAGAGCTTGCACCACGCATGTTGTGCCACCCAATGTACACCATATGGGGCGCACCAGACACACACACACACCCACACACATATATATATATGCAACACCACACAACTTGCGCCACATAGACTGTGCCACAGCGGACACCAAATCGATTGCATCACGCAAGTTGCACCTTTGTGATGCTCCATCAAAACTGCACCACATACATTGGGCCACGTACATTGCACTACAGAGCGTGCAACACATTGTTTACCCTGTATTCCACTACGTAGCAGGCACCACCCCGTATGCACCACATATATATATATATACACACGTAAAGCTTAACATATGGCATCACGTAGTTTTCACAACTTGTATGGCACCGCGTAAATTGCACCACGTGTACCCCACCACGTATCTTGCACCACCTAGACAGCTTCACCTAGAGTGTACCGCGTAATATGTACACCACACAAACTGCACCACATAGTTCAACCGCCATTCTATTGCACCGCACGCAACAAGCATATTGCACCGTTTAAGTTGCATCACAGAGTTTGCATCGCATAGCTTACACCACGCAGCTTACACCGCACACACAGACATAAATATAGCTATGTAAATGTGAACATGGATTGCACCACGTAGTATGCACCAAGTAGATTGCGCCACACATATTGCCCCACAAAGAATCGACCGCATGGTATGGGACACGCTGTTTAGGGACCACGATTGCTAACGTACCCAGGGCGTCTGCCTGAGTTGCAGCCTGATTCAGGCGCTTCCACAATAATATTTATTTTCGGAGGGAATATGTGGGCAGTGGACTCAGGGACGGGAGGGTGCATTGCAGCATTGATGAGGCATCCTGAATTTTCTCTTATCGTTCTGATGTTGCCTCCCCTCTTCGCAGCTAAGGTGAGCTGCGATATTGAGCTTGTGCTGAACTGCCTTTTGGAACCCCTCTCATCCAGACTTCCCTTCCTCATCCGCCGCCCTTCCCTCATCCCCTTCCACCACTTGCTGCTGCAGCTCCTCCTCCTCCGCCTCTTGACTCGCGCTGGCTCGGTCCTTCGTCGGGGGGTGTTCAAGGCACCGGTCGGTGGTGCGACTGCTGGAGAGCTTGCTTGGCGTTGACACGGCTGTCAGAGACACCCGCGAAGCGGGCACTGCCCTTGGATGGCGGACGGGCGAGAAGGGAGGGAGGGAGGGGGTTAGGGAGGGAGGATGGGGAGCACGGGTCTACAAAGAATCGCCTCTCCTGGTGCCGGCTGCCTCCAAGGTTGCACGCATGTCGGGAGGGAAGAGGGGAGAGGAAAAAACGGAGGTGGGAGGGGGAGGGCCTGGGGGCCCCAGACCTTGCCCTCGGGTCGCCTTCCTCGTTCTCGTCAGCCTCCTCCGCCTCTCCCGCAAAGGCGTGCGGCTGCCCAACCCCGCCCTCTTCTCCACGTCCCCCCCTCGCTGCGGCTAGGGTCCCAGCTCCCAGGACTGCCCTGGGACGGGGAGGGGCCTTCTCGGATGGGCCCATTTTCCACCACCGCTACCACAGGTAAAAGAGGAAGGAGGAGGAGGAGGAGGAGGAGGACCTCCCCATCCTCCCCCTTTTCCCCCGTCTTGCCCATGGTAGCGATGGTAGAACATTGGCCCATCATTCTCCTCAGCCCCCTTGTCCGACTCCTCTGATTCGAGTCGCTCGTTGCCACGCCTGTCGTGGTTGTAGTCCCGTGCTCCGTAGCACCTCCCTCGTTGCCCCTTCTTTCTCCACGCTCCTCACCCCGCCTGCCCATCCTCTCCAGCTCTCCTTCTGCCCACCTGGGCCTGGGTGCTCGGTGTGGGCACTGTGATTCGGCAACGCGTAGAAGGGGGCCATGTGGGAGGGGGGAAGGCTTCTTAGAAACACCCCTGCTTCTTAGAAGGCGCGGGACTCATATGTAGCCAGCGCCGTCTAATAAGAAGCAGCCTCATCCTAAGACATGTTTCTCCTCCCTCCACCCTCTTGTGCGCGCTGCCAGATGATGGCATCGACTGCTTTTTCACATCCGCGCCTGAAGTTGGTATCGCTTGCCCGGGCAGGGCGTCGTTTGCCCTGGGAGACGGATATAAACGAGGACAGGGAGCTCCTCATTCCCTTCCTGCTCACCGCCAGGGGGGGTGGACCAAGAGCATGCTCTGCGAAACGCACGGGTGTGTGTTGCCTGTTTGCCGTCGTCCCTTGCAATATTCGGCCAGGCCGCCATGTGAGCGGCAGTCGTAGCGAGGACCGACAGCAGCAGCTGTCTGCTTGCGAACGGTCTTCGCATGTGGCGAGGAAGGCCCGCCCAGCAATGGTGACGGTCGGTGTTGGGCAACATTTGTCATTGAGTGGCCCCCAGACCAGGTCCCAAGAAGGTGTGCGCGCACGAGGAAGCTCGGCCCTCCAACATTCGTGGCATGTGTCGCGTGTGTGCCTCGCGAGCGCCCGCGAGCCAGGACACGTTTGACGAGGGTCCCTTCGCCCGGAGATTGACACCAAGAGGAGATGGGTGGCGGGAGCAGGGGGAAGCGTCGGTGGAGGAGGCAGGAGGGGGAGTTCGAGAAAAACAGGTTGGCAGTTAACGATGGAAAGGTCATTTATTACCTAACAGCTTTTGCTGATAGGTTTCTAGTGGTCTCAAAAGAGAGCATCATGACTCCTCAGGGGGGTCTGGGCGGGACCCGGACAGGCTGCCGCCGAGGCTGCCGCCGAAGCCGAAATCGCTTGGGACATCCTCGCAAAATCGCTCTTGGTGCTCCCAGAACTCCATTCCCGGGCCACATTTTGGATGCCCGGAGCCAACTGTAGGCCACTTCGTGCTCTTCGACTTCCCAGAACTCCATTCCCGGGCCACATTTTGGATGCCCGGAGCCAACTGTAGGCCACTTCGTGCTCTTCGACTTCCCAGAACTCCATTCCCGGGCCACATTTTGGATGCCCGGAGCCAACTGTAGGCCACTTCGTGCTCTTCGATTTCCCAGAACTCCATTCCCGGGCCACATTTTGGATGCCCGGAGCCAACTGTAGGCCACTTCGTGCTCTTCTTCAGTGCTCTTCAAGTTCCCAGAACTCCATTCCTGGGCATGATTTTGAATGCCCGGAGCCAACTGTAGGCCACTTCGTGTTCTTCTAGTTCCCAGAACTCCATTCCTGGGCCACATTTTGAATGCTGAGGCAGGCTGATGCTGCGGCCGAGGCAGGCTGAGGCTGAGGCAGGCTGAGGCTGAGGCCGAGGCTGAAGGCAGACTGAGGCTGAGGCTGAAGCAGACTGAGGCTGAGGCTGAGGCAGGCTGAGGCTGAGGCTGAGGCAGGCTGATGCTGAGGCAGGCTGAGGCTGAGGCTGAGGCTGATGCAGGCTGAGGCTGAGGCAGGCTGAGGCTGAGGCCGAGGCTGAAGGCAGACTGAGGCTGAGGCTGAAGCAGGCTGAGGCTGAGGCTGAGGCAGGCTGAGGCTGAGGCTGCAGGCTGATGCTGAGGCAGGCTGAGGCTGAGGCTGAGGCTGATGCAGGCTGAGGCTGAGGCAGGCTGAGGCTGAGGCCGAGGCTGAAGGCAGACTGAGGCTGAGGCTGAAGCAGGCTGAGGCTGAGGCTGAGGCAGGCTGAGGCTGAGGCAGGCTGAGGCTGAGGCTGAGGCAGGCTGAGGCTGAGGCTGTGACTGCGACTGCCGTTGCCGCTGCGACTGTCATCGCGAATGCGACTACGACTGCGAGAACAGCAGAATTCGACAACTGGATTTTCATCTGAATCTTAAGGGGAATGCTTTCAGATATGCTTCTACACATCGCTGTTAGGTTGCTTCGCCGGGATAATCATTCGTTTTGGAGAATCACGATTTGATTAACAGAGTATGTGCCGTGGTCCCCTGAAGGTTAATGATACGTTTGGCTATCGAAGACGTTTACGGCGAATCACCGCCGCCCCCTGCCTTTTTGGAAGCGGCTATGTGGCCGAACGTTGAGGCCAGACCCGCCAAGCTATCGGACCATGGGTTCCCCGAATCGGTTTGGAAAGCCTTCGGGGAACACGTGGGCATCTTGAAGGTCATCTTGGCCGTCTGGAGGCCATTTTGACCCTTTCGGGCCTTCTTGGAGGACGTCTTGGAGGGCTCTTGGGCCGTCTTGGAGGCCATCTTGAGCGTCGTGGAGGCCTTTTGGGCCGTCTTGGGAGCCTCTTGGGGCCGGCTTGGCCCTCTTGGGCGATCTTTGGGGGCACTCGGGCAGTCGGAAGGCCGAAAAAGAGCAAATGCCACGATCCTTCATAAACTCATGGGAAATCAATGATTTGGGCCTTTTTCGGGCTTTCCTGGAGGCCCTCTTGGAGGCCTCTTGGGCCGTCTTGGCCATCTGAGGGCCATCTTCGGCTGTCTTGGTGGGCTCCTGGCCCGTCTGACACCGTCGGAAGCCGTTTGGGGGGCCTCCCTGGGCCGTCTTGGGGCCCTCTTGGAATGCTCCAGGGCCGTCTTGGAGGCCTTTTTGGGCGTCTTAAAAGGCCTCCTGGGCCGTCGTGGGGGTCTCTTGGGGCCGTCTTAGGGGCCTCTTGGGCCGTCCTGGGGCCATCTTGGAGGCCTCTTGGGCGATCTTTGGGCGATCGTTGGGGGCTCTTGGGCCGTATCGGGCAGTCGGAAGGCCGAAACGAAGCAAATCTCAAAACCCTTGAACAACCTGAGGAACATGTACGTTTTGGGCATTTTCTGGCCTTCCTGGAGGCCCTCTTGGAGGCCTCTTGGGCCGTCTTGGGCCAGCCTGAGCTCCTGGCCCGTCGGCAGCCGTTGGGGGGGCCTTTCTGAGCAGGCCATCTTGGGCGTATTGGAGGCCTCTTGGGCCGTCTTCGGGCCCTCTTGGGGCCGTCTTGGGGGCGTCTGGGGCCGGCCATCTTGGAGGCCTCTTGGGCGATCTTGGGGGCCCCTTGGGCCGTCTTAGGCCGTCGGAAAGCCGAAAAGGCGTAAATGCCAAAACCTTCCTAAAACCTAAGGAAATCAATGATGTTGGCCTCGCCGGGCCTTCCTGGAGGACTTCTTGGCTCCCAGTCGCCTGGGGGAGGGGGTATATATTAATAGGGAGCAGTGATCAAGACCCCTCCCCGCCCGCAAGCCGTCTCGCTCACTCCCACCCGCCCTCCCAACACACACGTAACACCCGAGTGGCCCGAGCCTCAGCATATTCAGCAGTTGTCTTTGGATGTGCAGCTACTGGGTGCCAATCCGCCGCCGCCGCCGCAGCCGCCGCCGCCGCCGCCGCCGCCGCCGCCGCCGCCCCCGCTGCCAAATCGACCCCGCCGCAGCCGCTGCTGCCGCAGCCGCTGCCGCCACCGCCACCGCCGCCGCCGCCACCGCCGCCGCCGCCGCCGCCGCCCCGCCGCCGCCACCGCCGCCGCCGCCGCAGCCGCCGCCGCCGCCGCAGCCGCCGCAGCCGCCGCCGCCGCCAAGTGTATTTTGTAATGTTTGTTGACAGGGATGGTGGGGGGAGGCCGCATCGGGTTGGCTGCGCATGCTCCGAATTCTTCACGCTTCGCGTATCCCCACCAGCCCATCTCAAAACAGCAACTCTAGCGAAGCATGCCGACAGTCGTGTTTTTTCAGGCGTGTTTCCGCCTGCCCCCGCATATCTCCCCTGTTCCTCCTTCCTCCCGCCTCCTTGTACATCCTCCTTGTGGTGGGAGCGGGAGAAGGACGAGGCGGAGGAGGAGGGAGAGAAAGCGCTCCTCGTGGTTTGAGTCGTTTGGGGTTTCTCGTCCTGGTGTGAGTCGTTCGGGCCCTTCTTCCTGGTGTGAGTCGTTCGGGCTCTTCGTGGTGTGAGTCGTTCGGGCTCTTCGTCCTGGTGTGAGTCGTTCGGGCTTCTCGTGGTGTGAGTTGTTCGGGCCCCTCGTCCTGGTGTGAGTCGTTCGGGCCCCTCCTCCTGCCCGTCCAGAAACGACGCCCAGGCGAGTAGAGGGTCGTCCTGGTGGGCTTTTCGGCGTCTTGGGTGCCTCGGGGGGGGCCTCTTTGGGCCGTTTGGGATCCTCTTGGGGGCCTCCTGGGGGCCTCTTGGGGCCATCTTGGGGCCTCTTGGTGCCTCCTGGGCGCTTCTTGGGGCCATCTTGGAGGAAATCCATCAAAGAAGAGGGGAGCTTTGATTAGCGCTGCCCCCTCAGAAGGCCAAAATGGGGCCAAAACCTTAGTAAATCAATGAGTTTGGCTTGCAAGAAGAGGGGAGCTTTAATTAGCGCTGCCCCCTCAGAAGGCCAACATGGGGCCAAAACCGTAGTAAAATCAATGATTCTGGTTTCAAAGAAGAGGGGAGCACTTTTTTGCCTCCCCCCGTCGGGGCCAGAATCCTCGTGAGGGATGTCGTTGTTTAACCCTCCCAGGAGTCAAAAAAGACCCCTTCTGACGACCCGCGGAAGGACCTCTCCAGGCCCAGGGGGAGGGGGTAGGGGGAGGGGTAAACCCCTCCCCGAAGGGGAAGAAGGGGGGTTGAGAACAGAGAGAGCTCGCTAAACCACTCACGCCCAAAGGGCTGGTGGGATTTGGAGGCAGAAAGTGTTTTGTATGGTTTGTTACAGGGGATGGTGGGGGGGGGCCCTCATGGTTCCTGGTTGGCTACCAGTCGCTTGGGAACAGTGATCGAAACGCCTTCATATACGGTCCAGGGTCTGGGCCCCCCCCTCACTCCCCAATGGATATGCCATCGCCCCCCCCCTCCCCCCCGATGGGTCCCTCCCCCCTTTGGATGTGGTGTGGGTGTGGTGTGTTGCTGTGGGTGTGTGCGGAGTGGCGCCATGGTCCTCCTCCCCCCATCCCCCCCTGTGGGTGCGGTTTGGGTGTGGCGTGTGGCTGTGATTAGCGTCATGTTGACAGCTCGGGTGCTCGACGTCGTCGCCGCCGCCGCTGGTGGTGCCATCGACGTCGTCGTTGTCGTCGTCGTCATCGTCGTTGTCGTTGTCGGTGTCGTCGTCATCGTCGTCGTCATCCCCCCCCCATTCCACCTTGGGGGAAGGGGGGGGCTTGTGAAACCCTGGGGCTCATCCCATCTGGGGGGAAGGGGGTGGGGCTTGTGAACCCTGGACCCGGAATCATATACAGCAAGCCGTCTAGCTCACTCCCACCCGCCATCCCAACACATCAGTAACATCCGAGCCTCAGCATGTTCAGCGGTCGTCTTAGGAACCAAAACCGAACCCATGTGTGCGACGATGGGGCGAGGTGCGCCACGCGTGCCAGGCGCGCCACGCGCTCCAGGCACCCTTGGGGCCCGAGCGTGCCAGGCACGACTGGTGCCCCAGATGCGCCACGTGCCTCCGCGTGCGCCAGTTGTGCCGCATACTCCAGCCGCGCCAGGTGCGCCACGTTCGGGGCACGCGCAGAGTGTGGCAATTGCGCCTGCGCACGTGACAGCACACATCGGGAAACATGTCGGCCCCCACCATCCATGCCGGAACCAATGCCCATCATTTTGTCTGGTGGGACTGCGCACAGCAGGCCATACGCCACCACTTGAAAGTGCTTGCAGGGTGGCCGCGCATGCTCCAGATATAGCCGCGAGGTGCATTTGCTAATTTTCGTGTCGTGGATAGTAGCCCTGCGCGCAGCTGGCAATATGCTGACACCCCCGCCGTTCCTTAAAAAAAAACTAGCCTGGCGAAACATTTAACCATATGCAGTTGTGGGCACTGCCGTTGTATGCGCCGCATTCGATGGAGCTCCCTTTGGGGCCACGAAGCGTGTGAAGGGTGTGCCAACATGGGTGCGGTGGGCGAGTGCGAGCGCTGGCATGTGGGCCGTCGGTGGAGCTCTTTATGGGACCACGAGACGCGTGAGGGGTGTCCCAACATGGGCGCGGTGGGCGCATGCGGGCGCTGGCATTTGGGCCTTCGGTGGAACTCCCTATGGGGCCACACAACGTGTGAGAGGTGTTCCAAACTGGGTGCGGTGGGCGCATGCGAGCGCTGGCATCTGGGCCTTGAGCGGGAATCCCTATGGGGCCACAAAGCGTGTGAGGGGTGTGCCAAAATAGGTGCGGTGGGCAAATGTGAACGCTGGCATCTGGGCCTTCGGTGGAGCCCCCAGATGGGACCACAAAACGTGTGAGGGGTGTGCCAAAACGTGCGTGGTGAGCGCATGCGAGTGCTGGCATCTGGGCCTTCGGTGGAGCTCCATATGGGACCACAAAACGTGTGAGGGATGTGCGAAAATGGCTGCGGTGGGCGAATGGTGGCACCGGCATCCGGGCCTGTGGTGGAGCTTCCTGTGGGGCCACAAAACGTGTGAGGAGTGTCCCATAATGGGTGCGGTGGGCGCATGCGAGCGCTGGCATATGGGCCTTCGGTGGAGCTCCCTTTGAGGCCACGAAGCATGTGAGGGGTGCCCCAAAATGGGTGCGGTGGGCGCATGCGAGCGCTGGCACCTGGGCCTTCGGTGGAGCTCCTTATAGGGCCAGAAAACGTGTGAGAGGTATGCCAAAATGGGCGAATGCGGGCGCTGGCATCTGTGCCTGTGGTGGAGCTCCCTCTGGGGCCACAAAACGCGTGAGGGGTGTGCCAAACTGGGTGCGGTGGGCGCGTGCGAGCGCTGGCATCTGGACCTTCGGTGGAGCTCCCTATGGGGCCACAAAACGTGCGAGGGTGCCCAAAAATGTGGGTGCGGTGGGCGCATGCGAGCGCTGGCATGGGACCACGAAACGTGTGAGGGGTGTGCCAAAATGGGGGAGGAGAGGAGGAGGGGGAGGATGAGAGGAGGGAGGAGGGAGGCGGCAGCGGGAGGAAGGAGTGAGACGCGGGGCGCTGTCTTTTCAAAACGAGGGCCCAACACCACAGAACGGTTGGGAAAAATACATAGTGCTTGCTGGCCTCACGAACATGACTCCAGGCTTTGCCCCAAAGTGTACTTGGTGTTGTTTTTGTTGGCAGGGATGGTGGGGGCGCCCTCATGGGGTCCTCGTTGTTCCTGGTTGGCTGCCGGTCGCCTGGGGGAGGGGGTGTATACTAATAGGCAGCAGTGATGAACCCTTCCCCCGAGCAGGGGAAGGAGGGGTTTTGGCAGAGAGAAAGCAACGTTTGTCAAACCACCTACGCCCACAGGGCTGGTGGAACTTGCCGTGCGCTGCCCCCAGGCATCGCGAGATGAGAAGATTTGCTCAGACGTCCAGGAGGTTGGGCCCGAGGTGGGGTTAGGGAGCGAGTCCGGCTGGGAGCCGAGAAGTCATTCATTCATGGGCCGTGCAGAGAGCGTTTTCTCCAACCCCCCCCCCCTCTCGCCCTACCCCACCTTTTCGAACACACGAACTGCGTCAGGAGGTTTCTGGTAGAGCTTGGCTTCTGGGAGCCCTTGCCCAGCCCTGGAGCCCTCGAGCAACGACTAGGTACGAGTCGCCGGTCATGGGGAAGTGGCCGAGGCCTTGAGTCCACGTTGTGAACAATTCCGTGCGGAGATTCACATTTGTGCATTCTATTATAGCGTCTCGGTGTGAGTGAGGCTGAGTGTGAGTGGTGTGTGTATGTGTGTTCGACTGAGTTTGAATATGAGTAATCGGAGTTTGAGTCTGAGTGCCGTGTGTGTGTGTGTGTGTGTTCCGCCGTTGTTGTCGCTCCCCTCCCTCTCCTGCTTTCGGGCTCGCCCTGGTCCCCGGCGTGGCCTCCTCCTCCTCCTGCCTCTCCTGCAGGGCTTTTCATGGGCCCATCGGCACGCGCTCGGTGGTGAGCAGGTCAGCGCAATCCGCTGACGCTCTTGCTGAGTTGGACCAACCACCCGAATATTCAAAACAGTATGTGTGCGTATACGTCTCCGCACGTACGGGAGTCTGGGAATGAACACGCTTGTTTCTTGAGGCTTACGCCACATCCGCCGACCCCTCTATAAACTACTGCGCCTCCAGGACTGCATGCCACGAGGCTTGGCCGAATCATGACACGGCGCTCGACATCGTTCCTGTTGCCTCGTTGCTGTTATCGTATTTTCCGGGAGCCACACTTCGCCCCGATCCGTTCCTCGGCGGCCCCCGGTGGGCTCGGGGAGACTGCTTCTTTTGGGCCTCTTGGGGCCTCTTGGTTCCTCCGGAGAGCTTCGTTGGGCGGAGCGCTGGAATTCGCGGCGCGTGGTCCCTCTCTTGGGCCCTTCGTGGGGCCGTCTTGGAGCTCTTTTGGGCCGTCTGGGGGGCCTCTTGGGGTTGTCTTTGGGGCCTTCTGGGAGCCTCGTGGGCCGTCTTGGGGTGGTCCTGGGGGCCTCGTTGGGGCCTCGTGGACGGGTTTCAACGCCGTGAAGGCTAACAAGTTGGATATGCTGAAAATGCACGTTTTTCCTATGAGATTTCAAGATGTTCGTTTCTTGGGGGCTTCTTGGGAGGCCTCTTGGAGGCTTCGTGGGGTATCTTGGCGGCCTCTTGGGCCGTTTTGAGCTCATCTTGGGCGTCTTGGAAAGATTTTTCGGTGACTTTTTGGGTTCTCGTGGACCGTCTTGGCGGCTTCTTGGGAGGCGTCAAGTGCTGTCGTGCAGCTCAAGAGCGAGCCCAGGGAGCCCAGACCGCCCCGGATGAGTTCGGTCCGGGGCCGTCCCGGGCCGGGGGCGGGGGAGTCAAAATCCCGGTTTGAGGTCCTTGGGGGGGACAATCTCACACGCCTGGAGACCCACAAGGGGTCGGCGGATTTTTGATTCGTATGAATAGTAGTTGAGTGAGTTTGAGCTTTGAGGGAGACGGCGGCTTTGAAAATGAAGGTGAGGCGGGGGCAATTCATTGATGTAAATAATGACCAGTAGGATGCGGAGGACATCTCGACGTCGGGGTCCGGGTCTTCTGGGCGACCGGTCATTGTGTGTGCATATTTGTGTGTGCGTGGAGGGTCCTCCATCCCCTGATCTCTGGCGCACTTTTTCGTTCGTTCCGAGTGTTCTTCCTTGAGTTGGGCCCTGTTTGTTTGTCGTCGGGCCCCAGGGATATCAAAATGTACGTGGGAGGGGAAAAGGGCCCAGGAGAGGGGTCCAGAGTCCCAGGGACCCACGTCTTGTGATGTCGGAGGTTTGAGTCTTTGGGTTACGCACCATGGTGCGCTCAGCTTCGTCCCTCTGCTGGCTCTCCCTCCTCTGGTGCAGAAGTGAGGGGGACGAGGAGGCGTAGGAGGCGCATGAATGGGAAGAGCTGCAGAAGGATGACGACGAGCAAAAGGAGGAGGAGGAGGAGGAGGAGGAGCAGGAGGAGGAGGAGAGGAGATTGGCGCTGGAAGACGCCCGGCCGGCGCAGGTTTGATCGAGACGGCGATCTGCACGGTCGTCACGGAGGGGCGCTGGCAGGGAGCAGGGCATGGTGCGGACGTACTCAATGTGTTCTTTGTCCTTTCTCCCCTTTCATGCCTCTCCATCCTCCATCCCCCTCCTCCTCACCGGTGCCTCCTCCTGCACTTCTCTCTCCGCCCCTGGAGAGAAGAGGGAGAGCGCAAGCATGCTCACCGTGAACTCCGCAGACACACAGCCGAAAGGGTGGGGCAGCGAAGACCCGTGGGGCCCCTCTCCCGAGCTTCTCGTCTGCCAGGCCGCGCGCCGCCCGCGACAGGCGATGGGCAGCAGAGCGGGCCCTCCCCGCTGGACAGCGCCGTGGGCCACACGAGGTTCCGCCACGCACGCCACCAGCGAGAGCGCCGTCAGAAGCTGCTGCCCTCGAGGCGGAGGGCACGGTCGTGGGGGCGCCGCCTGCGCCGGTCGTGTGGCATTCCCTGCGAGGTCTGCGCTTCTGCGCCCTCCCCGCACGAGGGTCGCGCCGGAAAGACGATCACCCTCGCCCCAGCTTGCAGTCGACCCGCACGGGAAGGATGGACGGCCTTCCCAAGGGTACCCTTGCATCCTGGCCTCCTCGGTCCGTCCTCCGCCGCTTTCGTTGGCCGCGCCCCGCTCGAAAAAGCTTCGAGATGGACGTCCGAGCCCTTCCATCCTTCTCGCGCATCCTCACTGTACGGGTTGCCTGCGTTTGCCGACCCGCTCGCTGCGCCTCTCCCTTTGGCCGCTCTCTGGGCCGTGGGACGCTCCTCGGACCGGCAGGCCGATGCCGCCGACTCCGCAGGCAGAGAGCCGAAACGAGAGCAGAGGTGCTGGGCGTTCAGACGCTCGCCCCACTGCGCGTTCTCCAACGCCTCGCCACCGCCCGTCGGCATCTGTGCTGCGGAGGCCCAGTGGTCCAATCTTCACACTCCTGCGCCCAGACAGGACACGGCCCCTCGCGTTCCCATCTCCCTGGCGCGTGAGGGCGAAAGTGCATGATTGGGGCTTGCATGGTTGGGCGAGACCGTCCTCCCATCTTTCCTCGTTTCTTCATTCATCCCTCCCTCCTCCCTACCTCCCGCATCCCTTTTCCCTCTTCCCATGTTTGGTCTCGTTGTCAGCATTATCATGCCTTCTCGTATCCAGTCGGAGCGGAGCCAGGAGCAGGTACGAGACGGATTCTCCCATGGGTGTCTGTTCGTAAATCTCGACATCGTGCGCAAGTCAGAGGGAGAAACAAACGAGGATCGACGCATAATCTTAGAACACGAGGGAGGGAGCTAAAGGAGGCGGGAGGAGGAGGAGCAGGCGGATGCCAGCTATGTTGAATCTGCAGCTTTGGATGCTTTCGTTATCCTTGTGCGCCTCCAGGGATCTCCGTGGACTTCCGACGGCATCCACACACGCACGCACACACAGCTCCCGCGAATTCCCACGAGACACTTGCCCAAACCGGCGGTGAGCAGGCCAGGCGGGGCACGTGCAGGCCAGATTTACCACCATTGACCGCCTTGTGCGCCAGCGCGGCAGGAAGCGCTGACCAGTCCGAAGGACAGTGCGCATCCGCACGCTCACACGCGAACACGCATGCACACACGCGCGCGTACGTCTGTTTACCATAGAAGAACAAACGCGCCAGGGGCGGCGCCGGAGGCGCCGCCTGGGGGGCCCAGCGCGGATCCAGAAATCCGCGCGCAGCGCCAAACATTTTTCTCTTAGTGGCGTTTTTCCTTCGTCGATGCCAATCCCTCCCCCCCCGCGCAAGTGCGGATAGGAATGAGGGGCTGCTGTGGTCTCGGCGCCGTGCGCCGAAAAGAGAAGCAGCCCGCCGCAGGCGCGCCAATTCTGTTGTGTTCGTCGAGCATGCAGCTCTGCGCAGCCAAGGCTGGCGCCACAACTGGGCCCCCACGACGCCGCGGGCCCCCCGGATGGATGAATGAAACAAGTTCAACGAATCGACTAGACGTAAGAGTGACCTTTCGCCGGGGTGACCTTTGGTGCGGGCCCAATGGGTTCCCCAGGTCGCCAAACGCGATGCGATAGTAGCGTCTTGCGCGCTTGTGTTTGGTCCCCCCGCGGTCCCCCAAAAGCCGCGCACCAAAGGTCACTCTTACCCAGGGTCACTCTTGCGTGTAGTCGAACGAAGCATTCAATGACGAAGCCCGCCGCACGCGTCGATCCTTCTGACTGTCAGCGCTGCTGCATCGCTGCGCAGCCAAGGCCGGCGCCACCCTTGGGGCCCCGCGGCGACAGGCCCCTGCACCGCGGGCCCCCCGCACGGTCCGACGGGGTATTGGACAAAGTCGAACGGAACATGCAGTGGAGAGGAGGGTGCAGGGACAGGGGACGACGGAGACGCAGGGAACGAGGAGAACGCATGCGCCGACTGAGCGCACGCCGACAGGGTCCACACGCCGACAATTCTCGGCGGGCTTTTGAGCACTGCCTTGCCGCGAGGCCAAGACCACCGCCGCCCTTGGGCGCCTCGGCGACGGGTCCCCCGCGACGCTGCGTGCCCCACCCCCGTGAGGGAGCCCCCGGGCCCCCACACGACCGGCGCCGCGCAGGGGCTCCGCGGCGATGGGCCTCCGCGACGCCGCGGGCCCCCCCCGCGGCGGGGCCCCCGCCACCTTCCCCCCCCCCCCCCCCCCCGCCAGCACACCTGCGCGTGGGACCCCCCGTCCGGGCCCTGCCGGCCCCCCCCCCTGGGCCAGAAAACAAGAAGACGAAGAAGAAGAAGAAGAAGAAGAAGACGAAGAAGAAGAAGAAGAAAAAACATCTAAACGCGACGACGTTTGCCTGCCCCGAAGCAGCCAACGCGTGCGCACGACTCGGAGAAACGGATTCGCGTGAGCGGAAGCCCCTGACCCCGATATAATAAAGTGGCATCTCCGTGCCGAGGATCATGCACAAGCAGATGTAAGCGAGAGCAGTTGGGCGACGGCCATTCCCATGGGCACCCTCGCGGGACAGTCTGCCTCGGCATCGCTCGGACGTGAGCATTTTTGCTCGGCGAGGACCTTCGAGAAGCATTCGGGATCACAGCTTCGCAGAAGCGTGCCAGCTCGCCAGGCCCCGTGAGCCCACGAGGCAGGCCATGAGGCGTGGAGGCGAAGAGGAGACGCAGGAGCATCGCGAGGGCATGTTCCTGATGATTTTCCTGCTGCAAAAACAATTTTATGATCCATTTAAGAATACGCACGAAACCGACAAATGCACGCGGAATGGACGTGCGAGAGATGGCAAGTCTGCAGGAGGGTTCACAGGAGGCCGGGGTAGAGGGGGTTGCGCCGCGCTCTTGCGCGAAGCGCCGTATCCGAAATTAAGAGGCGCCTAAGAGGGCTCCATCTTACACCATGCTGGACATGTGGAGTCCCCACCCCGTCCCCGATGCATTCATAACAGACACTCGACAAGGCCCAGAGCGCCCGTAAGCGCCCGGAGCTCCAGGCCTTGGGGTCTGGGGCAAGACTCACTGCGGAAAGCTCGAAGGGACCTGAGGACACTCCACTCCATGCCTCGCGGGGGCCTGTGGGGCGTTTTGATGGCCTCCTGGAGCTTGTGGGGGGTCTCTTGGGGCCTGCAGGCGGTCTCAGTGGCCATCTTCGTGTTCCCCCTCCGGGGCCTCTATTGGGCCCCCTTGGGGCCCGAGTGGGCCGTCTTGGAGTCTTCTCGGGCCGTCTTGGGTCGTCCGGGAGCGCTCTTAGGGGCCTCTTGAGGCAATCTTGGGGGCCTTTTGGGTCGTCTTGGAGTGTCGACAGCCGGGAAAAAGGCGTTGTTTCGGTTTCCGGCCAGGCGGCGTCATGCGATACATTCTAACAAAACGATGTTTTTGCTCAGGTTTCCGGCAATTGTGCTGAAATCTGGACAGAATAGTAGGGGGCTTCGGGCCTCTGTGAAAGGAGTGCCGAGAGCCCAGGAACACACATGAGCGCGAGGGACGCGGACAGATCGAGAGAGCGAGAGAGAGAGAGAGATGGGGAAGTAGACGGCAGGTTGGGCGGGGGGGGATCATGGTTTGGATAGTTGTTCAGAAGGGCCGCGGAAGACGAAAGAACGCGTTGGGGCGCTACTCATATTGTCGCTGGCACTATTGCAAGAGATGCTGCTGTGAGGGACAGGACATGCCTTGCAGCGTCTCCGTGGCCGATCCGGCTAGCCTGGACAATGATCTGATCGCTGTATCTGAGGGCTTTCTGACCATGACAGGCCGCTTGCTTCTTTGCATTGTGCCCGTATCTGCGTTTGTGGCCACGCAGCGTGAATCAATATCCTTGGCTTCACTCCATGACGTGCTCGACTGCGGGCACGTTGGCTCTGCGTGCGTGTGTGAAGTGCGGCACGTAGAGGCCATAAGTAGGGCTCGGGCACTATAGTCAACCCGCATCGTAAGGATGAGCGACTTTCCAAGGTTACCCTTGCATCCTTTCCCCTTCGGCCCATTCCTGGCCGTTTGCGCTGGCCGTGCCTCGCTCGCAAAGTGTCGGCATGGCCTTCAAGGCCCCGGCATCCGCATCGTGCGCCTTTATGATACAGGTTGCCTGTAAGGCAGGGCTGGACCTAAACGCTGTTTTGCTGGACTTCGGCTGTGTTTTGTTTTCGTGTTGGCAGGGAGGTACAGGAAAACAGGTCGAGCAAAGCCAGCAAAAAAACTAGCACAAAACGGAAAACAACGTTTAGGTCCAGCCTTGGTGTGCCAGGGGAAGGAACACGAGGAGTAGCAGCAGCATCGCCTCTCTGCAGGAAAGCGGGAGGGGCGCGCGTGAGCGCGTGTGCGCGTGTGTCCTCCGGCCGGGGTGGTGCCAGCGCGTTGTCGCGGCCGCCGAGAGAAACGCGAGAAACGTGCGTGAAGATCCGCGGGTTTGGGATGCCACTTCAGATGCTCGTTTGGGGGATCTTCCTGGGGTCCACCTAACGGATCGGTTCGACCCCAGTTCGATTCAAGTTCGATTCAGCTTCGACTCAGGTTCGACTCAAGGTCGATTCGAATCGACGGACGTTCGACGCAGCTTCGACGCACGAGTGGAGCGAGTGGTTGCAGGAAGGTCCCCAGAATGAGCAGCCAAGCCATTCAGAGGAGGAAAAGGTGCACGCCAGTCGTTGGAGGTATGTACGTTTGGATTCTCAGATTCCAGTCTACTTTCGGCGCATTCCTGCTTGAGGGATCGAGCGTTGTTGTCCCTCTTCCCTGCTCTTCAGGGGGCGGGCGGAAGCCCAATCTACTTCCAATGCCTCCCTACTTCATGCCTTTACCCACTTCTTCCGACCGACGGGTACCAATACCGCTACGCTTGCCCCGTTTTCCCGTTGTTGGGGGTTTCCTGGGAGGCCCTTAGTCGCCACCGCTGCGTTCGCCCCGAAATTCTGGTCAGAACGCTCCCTGGGAGAGGTCCACGGAGTAGTGGTATCGGTATTTCTGTTTGTCAGATCATTGAGCCTGGGCTGCCACGCGAAGGGTTAGGATGAGGAGGAGACGGATGAGGATGAGGTGGAAGGCCATCAGTAGATCCATCGAGAGAAACACGTAGAACATGAGCCCGACTTCCAGGGAAATAGCACCTCCACAAACGAGCGAACTCTGGCGGTGAGAGCCGAGCTCTTGCAAGCGAGAGTCGAGCTACAGAATTGGCAAGACCCCAGGCCAGGGTCAGCATTGCCGGTTTTTGCAGCTTGTGTTCTTGCGGAGGTATTGTTGCGAACAGTGTAGGATGTGATTTTTTCTGTGGACTCAGGGCATCGGCTTTGGGGGCTTCGGGTTCATCTGGTTTCTGGCTGTTGGCTCTGGGCGTTTGGCCTAGGGCGTTGGATGGTGGGCTCAGGACGCAGATGCCTTGAGCTGGCTTGCGTCAGCCTCAGGGCTTGCCAGTGGCAGTGACCGAACGAGTGCCCACGCGAGTGGACCATGCGGTGCGGTGCCGGGCGATGTGTTTTTTAGGTGTTGGGCACTGGGCTGCTCACAGCTGTCACCATCCTCTCCCTCTTGTTCCGTCTCCCACTCCTAGACCCACCGCGTCCACCAGTCCCCCCCCCCCTCCCCCATCTCTTCTCCTCCTCGCCCCTCGTCCCCCTCCTCCCCTCCTCCCCTCCCCCGCCCCTCCCCTTCGTCTCCCCTCCTCCCCTACCCCCCTCCGCTCCTTCTCCACTCCTCCTCCCCTCCTCCTCCCCTCCTTCTCCCCTCCTTCTCCCCTCCCCTCCTCCCCCTCCTTCTCCCCTCCCTCTCCCCTCCCTTCTTTCCCTCCGCCTCCCCTTCCCCGCCCCTCCACTCCTGCTCTTGGCTCCCTGGGCACGGGTACCCCCTTCCCGTCCTTCTCGTCTTCCCCTCCCCCCCCCTCTCCCCTGGCCCATGCCGAGGCAGGAAGGGGGAGTTGGGCGGGGGGTGGTGGAGTGTGGTGTGGTGTGGAGGAGGGGTGTGGAGGAGGTGTGGTGTGGAAGCGGGGGGGGCTTGTGACGCGGTGCGGCAGAGGGGGCCCCCTGGGTGACTCACGTGGGGCTTGCCCGTACTTCCCCGCCGCACGCCCGCGCTGTTTTGATTGGATCGTTGCCCCCCCGCTGGTGGGCCCAGCTTCGTGGTGGCACCACCATGTGAAGTACAATGGTCGCCAGCACACGTCGTCATGTATACTCAGGGTCAGGGCAATCACTGGGCAAATGGAGGGGATCACACTGACGCAGCTGGTTTAGTATACTTACCATGCCCTGCCGTAGGAGGGACGAGGTGGGGGGAGAGGAGAGGGGGGCGGGGTCGCTGGTTATGGGTTATGCCATCGTCCTCTGGAGCCGTGCCAGGTTATGCACGAGAAGATGTAATCGACAAGAACTGCAGATTTCTCAACAAAGGCAGCGCCACTTGTGAGTGGCAGCTTCGGAGGAGGAGGGTGAGGAAGCAGCACTAGCCGTGTTCAAAATCATGCGATCGTTAGGCAAGATGAGATGAGTGAGATTGTCCACTATGCTGGTATCTGAGATTCAGCCAGCGTGGACCTCACGCAGTGAGCGCTTTAACGCTCAAGGTTCATAATGTGCAGTGCAGTTTGTGCGGTGCAAGCTAAGGTATGTAACGCATGTAATGCATTACATTGGGCTCACTATGTGAGGTGCAAGCTGATTCGATTGCATCTAGGTGGTCCATAGTTGTGGCGAAATATTAGTGGACAATATGTTATGGTGATGTGTATACGTGTACGTCAATATCACAAAATTAGACCTGCTTGTCTACGGGTTGCTACCCACTGCAAATGCCTTACGGCCAGTGCCGCCGACCCTGAAGCGGGGACGACGAACATGACGGCGACGACGACAACGACGACGCTCGCGAGCCTTCGTGGGGGCCCTTGTAGGGCCTGTTGGCCTCGTGACCCCAACCGGGACCGCCCGCAGCGATCCCCTCTCGGGACGCCCCCCCCCGCTGGGAAGTGATCGAGGGCCTTCCCTACGACTCGATTAGTGTTCCCCCTCTTGCGGCTATGTAGGGCTCTCATGGGCCGTCTGGGTCGGAGGCATGGGGAGTCACGACCCCCAGAACCCCTCGGGGGGGGGGGCGGGGGGTTTGTGACCCCCCCCGGGCCTCCCCCCGCCGGCGTAGGGAACGGGTCAAGGGGAAGAGGCTTCCTTTCAAGCCGATTACGATGTTGCTAGATTTTCATGTGGCTGGGTCGCTTGAGGAGGAGCGGGGGAGTGGCGACGGCGACTAAACCAGAAAACGTCTCGGCACAATGGATGTGATTCAAAGTGTGTCGGGCCCTCCCCGCAGAACAATCTACGCGGTGATTTCTTCGATGTGGTGCTCTACCCTGATGTGGTGCGATTTGTATGACGTCATCTATGTGCGCCAAGTGCAGCCAGCGCGCGAGGCGGCCACGCGGCGATCACGGGGGGCCGGGGCCCGGAAATCTGGAGACGCGGGTCAGCGCAAGCGGTGGCCACGAGAGGACCCGGGGCGGGCACCGGCCGATCACCCAGCGACGCCAGCCAGCGCGAAAGGCGGCCGCGGAGCGGCCACGGGTGGCCACCGGCCTGAAGCTCGGGAGTGCCAGCCACACACTCGGAACAGAGACGAGAACCGCTGAGGGCAAGCTCTGTCTGGGCTGTCCAAGTGCCCACGGCAAGTCCCGCCACCGTGCCCGTGCCCAGGTTGTGAGCTACAGGCTTCCTTGATGTTCGTTGGGATGTCGTGGGAGGCCTCTCGGGGGCCTGTTGGAGGCAGTTTGGAGGCCTCTTGGGGACCATCTGGGGGCCTTTTGGGGGCCTCTTTTGGGCCTCGTGGAGTTCTCTCTTTGAGCTCCTGGAGCCGTCTTGGGAGTCTCTTTGAAGCGGCTTCAGGCCATCTTGGGCAGTCCTGGAGCCATTTCGGGGCGTCCTGTAGCCATCTCGGGCCGTCTCGGGCCATCTCCAGGTTGCCATTGCATTACGGTAGGTTCGTGCGTCGTTGGCGCGCTGGCTACGCTGGCGAAGGAGTGCAAGGTTGAAATCTGCGACGCGGACGCACCGATGGACACGGTAACGCCATTGGACCCGAACGAATTCAACCTTGAACGATCGGGGCCGCGATCGGTTCAAGTTTGAACGATCGACGCGGAATAAAAAACCATTTGCGCGCGCCGACTCCGCGCGAATCCACCGTATTCGGCCAGGCTTCGCTTCCCGCTCCAACCCCCTCCCATTTGCAGCCATCGTGGCTCGAGGACCGCGCCCCCGGCCGGCGCATATGGAAGGTCGGCGGCCGCGGCCGCGATGCACCGGGCGGCCGCGTGCAAGCGAGGGTCAGACTCGGGCGGAGGGAGGAGGGGAGCGACGGCGAACGACGACGACAACGACGACGACGACGACGGATGACGAACGACGTCTTACTGCGACGGACGACGACGACGCAACCCGAGAAGGGAGGACGGAGGACGGAGGAGGAGAACGAGAAAGGATGAGTCGGAGGGTGGAGAAAGAGGAGGAGGAGGAGGAGGAGGACGAGGAGGAGGAGGAGGAGGAGGAGGAGGAAGAAGAGTAGGAGTCACAGGAGGAGGAGGAGGAAGAGAGGTAAACAGAGGAGAATGAAGGATAAGGATGACGACGATAGAGGATGATGGCGGAGGAGGAGGAGGAGGAGGAGGAGGAGGAGGAGGAGGACGAGGAGGAGGAGGAGGTGGAGGAGGACGATCAGGTTGCAGGATGCAGGAGGAGGAGGAGGAGGAGGAGGAGGATGGCACACGACGACGACGAGGCAGCCCGAGCCTGCGCGCTTCAGCAAGCGCCGCTGCCGGCTGGAGGAGGCGGACGAGTGCTGGAGCGACCCGGAGTCGGGCGGCTGGCTACAGGGCGGGGACCCCGCGGCGCTGGAGGTTCACCTCCTCCTGGTCGTCCTCCTGCTCCTCCTCCTCGTCCTCCTCGTCGTCATTCCTTTCATCGTCGTCCTCCTGCTCCTGCTCCTCCTCCTTGTCCTCCTCGTCCTTCTCGTCCTCCCTCTCTTCTCGTGATCCTCCTGCTCCTGCTCCTCCTCGCCCTCCTCGACCTCCTCTGCCCCCACCTCCCCAGGCTAGAGCTGTAGTCGCAGCCGGATCGCCCCTTTTCGGCTCACGTTGGCTCCTCGACTGGAGCCCGTGCGCGCCGCATCCCCGGGCGAGGCGCCCCCTCTCATGCGCGGCCGCGCAGTCGGTTACGAGGACTACGAGGACTACCCCCTCCGCTACTGCAGCGCGTCCCTGTGGACTGCCTGGACTACGAGGACTACCCCTTCCTCTACGAGGACTACGAGGACTACCCCTTCCTACGAGGACTACCCCTTCCTCTACCCCTTCCTTTACTGCTGCTGCGTCCAAGCTCAGCCATTCAGCGAAGTGCTGCGAGGTGCAGAGCATCTTCACAGGGCCCACGTTGACCGAGAAGGGCCACCCCTGCTTCTGCTGCAGCGCGTCCACGGCGCGGGCGACGGCGACCAAGCTGAGACATACGGCGGAATGCTACGAGGTACCAGGTATCTTCACGGGCTTCAAGCACTACCCCTTCCGCTACTGCAGCGCGTCCTTGGCGCAGGCGACGGCGTCCAAGCTCAGCCATGCGGCGGAGAGCTAAGAGGAGCAGAGCATCTCCACGGGGCTGGCGCTCACCTACGTGGACTACCCCTTCCGCTACGGCAGCGCGGCCCGTGCGAAGATAGCGGCGTCCAAGCTCAGTCGCACACTGGGGTGCTACAGCGTATTGGGCGTCCCCACGGGGCTGCCGTAAACCTACGAGGACAACTTCTTCCGCTAATGCAGCGCGTGTTTGGTTCAGCCGTTTGCGTTTCAGCTCAGTTTCACGGCGGAGTGCTACGAGGTGCCAGGCATGTTCACGGAGTTGCGGCTCAGATACGAGGGTGGCCCCTTTTGTTACTGCAGCGCGTCTTTGGCACAGGCTGCGGCGTCCAAGCTCAGCCACGCAGCGAAGTGCTACCAAGTGCTGGACATCTCTACGGGGCCGCCATCCGCTTACGAGGACAACCGCTCCGCTAGTGCAGCGCGTCCCTGGCGCACGCGGCCGCGCCCCAGCTCAGCTGCGGCGGAGAGCTACGAGGTGCCAGTCATTTTCTCGGGGCTGCGTGGCACCTACGAAGACCACCCTTCGGCTACGGCAGCGCGGTCTTGGCGCGGGCAACGGATTCCAAGCTCAGTCATCCGAAGGCGTGATAGCTGGTGTTGGGCACCTCATGGAGTTGCCCATCGCCTGCGCGGATTGCGCCCATGGCAGAACCGCCCATGGGCGATCACCAGAACAGCTCGTGAGCTACGGGACTTGCTGCAAAGCAACCATTCTGGCCCGTGCAGTCCATTTGAGCTGCAGGTCATTGCATGTGCTGTCGCCCACCAGGCTCCCTTACATGAGTTTGGAGGCATATGCCCATTCTTCAGCATCAAAGCGGACTACGCTGAGAAGGGATCAGATCCGAAGTGGCAGGTGCACACGAGAATGAGCCCACTCACCCAGGGCCAGTGGTTGTGCGCGGAGAAGCGCGAAGCATTGATGGAGAAGATGGAGCTCGACAGGAAGAATCTGGCCGAGACAGGGAGCTGCACCGATGGAGGACGCCGTCTCCGTGGAGATCATCACGATCCAGGAGCTGCGCGTCATCATGACGAGGGCGGCCATCCTCATCGGGGACACGGTCATCGAGGACAGCCCGCCACCAACTGCGCTCGGGAAGCAGGTGCAGGGCATGCTGCACACCAGGCAGGGGAAATAATCCAAGTGAGCGAAGCAGGGTCGCGACTGGGCACGCAAAGCCAAGCAGTCGCCAGTCAGAGCCACCAGTTTCCTCCCGTGCCTCGACCTCCATCTCCACCCAGACCACAGGAAACCCACCCAGTTGGGCTGCGAGCCATGGCAACAAAAGCGGGCGCCGTCAGGGCCACAGATTCGGGCAAGCTTCCGGGGGCAGCTTGTCTGATCAAGTTTTGCGCTCAGCCTCGTGGTCCTCGAGGGGGTGGTGGGCCTACGTCAGGCTCTCAGACGCCTGATCTGCGTGAATTTGTAAGCAGGGGCGGCCTCAGAACACACGAGGGCCCTGCAGCGGTTCTTCGGGCGCTCCCAGGGCCCCGGACGACTCACTGCCAGCAGTTGTTGGCGCTCCAAGATGGGCGCCAGTTTTCTCGAGCTTGCCGAGCCAACTCAGCCTACCGAAGCGCCGATCCCGATCCCGATCCGTGTCTCCTCCCTCCGTCCTTCCTCCGTTCTGCCTCCTCCTGTTTCCTGATCCATAGTCTCAGTTTCGTCCACGACCGCCCTCCCCCCTCTTCTCTTATAGTCTCTTCTCTCCTGTTCTCTCCTCTCCTCTTCGCCCTAGCAGAAGCGGGCGGAGGCGCCCTCTTTTCAAAGTTCGCGGGTCCGGCAGTGGAGCAAGTGCCCCAGCACGTGCCTTGTCCATGGGAGCTTTATTCCTCCACCTTCCGCCTTTCCTTCTCCTCTCTCCGTCCTCTCTCCGTCTACATAATATTTCTCTCCCTTCTCCTCTTCCTCGTCCCTCGTTCCAGCCTCCTCCCTTCTCCCTGCTTCCCCCACCTGGTCCTCCCCGCTCCCCCCCCATCCTTCCCCTCTGCCCCCTTCACAATTACACAATATGAATGCTACTCTCCTCTCTCCCCTGGTGGCGGCTGGGGAATGTCCGGCCCCCCCTCCGCGTACTGTTTTTTTACAGGATTCCCTGGAGTTGGGTTTTCGTTTGGGTTTTGTTTGTTAATGTTGCTCTCGCTGAAGCGCTGGCTTCATTTTCGGGCTCCCGCTCGTTCCGAATCGTGCTCCCGCGGCAGCGCTGGCCTTATTTCCACGCTTCCGTTCGTTCCGAATCGTGCTCCCGCTGCAGCGATAGCGTCATTATTTCGAGTGCCATGCCCCGGCATGGTTTTCGGTGCTTCCAAATCGGCCCCAAAATCTAGAAAATGGCCTCCCGAAGAAACCATCTGAAGTGATTACACATTCGGTGTCGATTCGCTGATTTTCTAGGTCGCGGAAGCCCCCCCCCCATGTTGGGGCGTCGCCACGCCATGCTGTATCAGGCTACGCGTCCTCATTTCCGCGCTTCCGCGCTGAGTAGTTGTTTCAAAATGCTGCTATAGCTGAAGCGCTGGCCTCATTTTCGTGCTACCGCTCGTTCCGAATCGTGCTTCCGTTGCAGCGCTGGCTTCATGTCCGCGTCATTGTTTCCAGCGCCATGCCAGGGCATGGCTTTTTGTCCTTCCGCATAGGCCCCAAATCTAGAAAATGAACTCCCGGAAGTGATTACACATTAGCTGTGGATTCGTTGATTTCTGGGGCCGCAGAAGTCCCCCAGCCACCTTGGGGCGTCGCCACGCCATGCTATGTCAGGCCGCGCGTTGATCTTCGACACCATGCTATGCCATGTAATGCTATGCCATGCTACGACACCCGATTGTGCCAACAGAGAGGTGATCCGCGCCATGGTAAGGGCTGGGAGGGAGGGGGAGGACGTCAGACATGCCGCGAGCGCACCTGGCTTGCCCCCTCCCCCTCTCTCTTCCAGCTCGCCCCCCCCGTCCCTCCATGAAGGTCGCCCTGGAGGCGTGGGGCGAACTCGAGGACGAGCTGGAACGGCTGGGGGAGCAGACCGGCCGCGTACCGGTCCCCTTGCTGGACCTGGAGGACCTCCTTGCCTCTGGCGGGCCGCCTCCCCGGTCGCTGAAAGAGGCGACCACCAGCGAGGATCGAGGAGGAAGAGGAGGCGGAGGAAGGGGAGCAAATAGCATAAAAGGAGGAGGAGGAGCAGGAGGAGGAGGACATTCCAACATAATTTAGCCTTGATCACAGGAAGAATCTCGAGCACCAGGTAAGTACCGAAACTGGAGGCTGTTTCACGTGTCGGGCCCTGGGAGGCGATACTCGCTTGACACTTCGCTAGCGTGTCGGGCAGACACTGTTTCGATATGTTTCTGGGTGCTCGAAATTACTTCTGGGATGTAGTCCTTACGTGCGATGAGAACAACATAGGAGGAGGCGGAGGAAGGGGAGTAAGGGGAGGAGGAGGAGGAGGAGGAGGAGAAGGAGGGGAAGGGCCGAGGATCGAGGTTTCTGGCGCGTTCAGAGGGAACGGCCCAGTTTGTTGCAGCAGAATTAAGAATCCCTTAAGTACAGACATTAATTTAGGAGTGCGTGTGTGTATATATAAACCTACGTGTGAATCTATACACACATTTAACAAGTGCGTACGCGCGTGCATAGCTGTAATCAGCCTTACCCCGTGCCACCCTGACCCGAGCCCAGAATCGCGTCTTCAGCAGCGACAGCGTTGGCTGGCTCTGCAAGCACGGTTCCCGTATAGTTGGACACATGTTGCTATTATGCGTGGAACCCGCCAAGATTGGCAGAAGGTGAATGCGCGCGAGGCCGCCCGATGGTCTCATTGTCCACGTCTGAGGGAGGGCCCTCCACCTCCTCCTCCTCCTCCTCCTCCTCCTCCTCCTCCTCCCCCTCCTCCTCCTCCTCCTTTTCCTCCTCCCTCTCTGTGTGTAACACGCGCGGCCGTTGCCAATACTGCACGCCTCTTCAATGACCAATTTGGCTGCAAACGTTCTCACCCTGCACGCGCGCCGTCCGGACGCAAGGCTTTGAACTGATCTGAGGGCCAAGCATTTTCTTTGGGTGGAGGGCAAAGGGTGAGATCTGAAATGCCGTTTCGATTGATCTTCTAGGCTTGAATCTGCAAAAGGTGAATCCCAAGACGGATGGATCTTGGAGATGCAGAAGCCCACATGGACTTCGCCTCAGCCCTCCACCCCAAGGAAATGCTCAGGAGGGAGGGGCCCAGTTCTGGGGCGTCAGGAACAAGTCGAGGCGGCGGGCCCTTCCAGAGTTTGGGGCCCCTGGAGGCCCGCCTCTGGCCTCGGGGCTGCGAGCATAGAGCCCAGGATGACGGACATGTGTTTTTGGGGCGGGGCCCGGAGGTCCAGAGGGCCCATGCGAGCGAGGGAAGCATCGGAGGTGCCGCGCGGACAGTCGTTCCGAACCCCCCCGCAGAAGGCCGCGCGCGAGCGCCGTGGGCCGAGGGCGGCGGCGGTCTTCTAAGGAGGTCCTACGGCAACTCGTGGGAGCCTCCCGTACCATCTTGTCGGCTCCTACGAATCGACGCTAGATCGACGCTGACCGAAGCTAGATCGGCGCTATCTCATCGACTCCCAGACGCTGATCGACGCGAATCGTCGCTGAAGGCGGAATTGCGAGGGTAGACAAGGCTCCCATGATTTGCTGCCGAAAGAAGGCAGTGGCCACGAAGACCGACAGCCCCACGTTTCCCGAGAGGCCCGGGGCCTCTTCGCCGCCCCGCCTCGCAGAGGCCGCCTTGCCTCCCAAGAAAAGTAGCCTTCGGGGAGGCCTTCGAATCGCGACGCTTGCGCGAGGTGCGCCACGCGTGCCAGGGGCGCCACGCGCGCCAGGCCCGAGCGTGCCAGGCACGCCTAGTGCGCCAGATGCGCCACGTGCCTCCGCGTGCCGCGCACTCCAGCCGCGCCAGTTGCGCCACGTTCGGGGCACGTGCAGAGTGCGTCAGGTGCGCCTGCGCACGTGATAGCACACATCGGGAAACATGTCGGCCCCCATCATCCTTGTCGAAACCACTGCTCATCATTGTGTCTGGTGGGCCTGCGCACAGCAGGCCACGCGCCACCACCACCGCCGTCCCTGTCAAAAACCGCTTGACAGTGATCGCGGGGTGGCCGCGCATGATCTAGATTCAGCCGAGAGGTGCATTCTGTATTGATTTTTGTGTTAGGGATGGTAGCCCTGCGCACAGCAGGGAACATGCTGACACCCCCGCCGTCCCAGTCAACAACCAATACAAAGTGCTCGCGGGCCTCACGAACATGACTCCAGAGTTTGCCCCACAGTGTACTTTGTAGTGCTTTTAAGAGGGATGTTGGGGGGGCGCATCGGGTTGGCCGCGTTTGCTCCAACTGTGGAGGCAGAGTGCCTTTTGTATTGTTTGTTGATAGGGATGGCGGGGGAGGTGGCCCGCATAGGGGTCGGCATGGTTCTGGGTTGGCCGCCGGCCGGGTGGGAGAGGGGGTATACTTTAGTAAAAAACAGTGATCAAGACACCTTCCTAGATAGCAAGCCGTCTAGCTCACTCCCACCTTCCCTCTTAACACATAGGTAACGCCCGAGCCTCAGCCTGAGCATGTTCAGCGGTCGTCTTTAGATGGACAGCTACTGGGAACCAAAAGCGAGCCCATGTGCGCGACGCTGGGGCGAGGTGCGCCACGCGTGCCAGGTGCGCCACGCGCGCCAGGTACCCCTGGGGCCCGAGCGTGCCAGGCACGCCTGCTGTGCCAGATGCGCCACGTGCCTCCGCGTGCGCCATGTGTGCGGCACACTCCAGCCACGCCAGGTGCGCCACGTTCGGGGCACGTGCAGAGTGCGTCAGGTGCGCCTGCGCACGTGACTGCACACATCGAGAAACATGTCGGCCCCCACCATCCATCATCGTCGAACACCGATGCCCATCATTGTGTCTGGTGGCACGGCAGGCCACGCGCCACCGCCACCGTCGTCCTTGTCAAAAACCGCTCGACAGTGATCGCGGGGTGGCCACGCATGATCTAGATTCAGCCGAGAGGTGCATTCTGTATTTATTTTTGTGTTAGGGATGGTAGCCCTGCACACAGCATGGAATATGCTGACACCCCCGCCGTCCCTGTCAACAACCAATACAAAGTGCTCGCGGGCCTCACGAACATGACTCCATACTCTTTGCCCCAAAGTGTGTGTTGTATTGATTTTGACCGGGATGGTGGGGGAGGCCGCACAGGGTCGGTTGCGCATGCTCCGAAGTTGGAGGCAGAGTGTGTGTGCTCGTATTGTTTTCCACAAGCATGGTTGGAGTGTGATCATGGTGTCCTCCCGTCGCATAGGGGAAGGGGTGCCATTCATAGGGGACAGTCATAAACCCCTCCCCGAAGGGGAAGAGGAAGGGGTTGGAAGAGAAGCCGCCCTAAACCACTGGCGGCCAGATAGCTGGTGGGATTAGCACCCAGGGGAGCTGCGGTCCTTGCCCCCGCTGCTCGAGGGAGGAAACACCACCCCGACCCCCAAGGCCCCCTGGCGCTGACTGCTGAAGAACTGTAAGGGTTTACGAGACAGCCCACAGGGCGGCTTCTGCAGGGCAATCGCACGTCGAAGCGCATACGTTGAGCACGGCGGTTCTCCCTCCTGCCTGGGGGACCCATCGGCTTCGGCAGCCATTTCGAGAGATCCTCGAAGCGGTGGTTCCCCCCAAGCAGGATGAAGAGCACGTGCTCCCCCAGTCGCCGCGGTTGGTTGGTCCGAGGGCTTCTGCCTCATCAGATGGCCGCCCCCCACCCCACCCTGCCCGATCGTCTGCGCGCCGCCATCCGAGGTGAGGAGGGCGACGCCCGTCCTGCTGCTGTCCCGGCCCGCGTACGAGCAGCTCGAGGCCTTCGACGACCGCTTCGAGGCCCTCGCCGCCCTCGACGCCCACGTCGACGGGCAGGCCGCCGTGGCGGCCGCCCACGCCGAGCTCCTCCTGGAGGGCCTCGCCGCGGTCAAGGCGGCTGGCGGCGACGCGGACCTGGCCTTCGAGGCCCTGTCCGCCATCTCCGTGCCCGCCTTCGACGACGCGCACGTCGGCTACTTCTCGGGGCACGCGGCGCCCTGCGGCTGCGGCGGCGCCCGCGGCGGCGAGGCGGTGTGCCGGGCGCGCAGGCTGCTGGGGCGGCTGGGGCGGCGCTGGGACGCGGCCCTGGCGGCCCCGGGCGGCGGCACGGACCCGCAGTCGCGCAGGGGCGCCCGCGCCTTGCTGCGGCGCTCGGCCGCGGCGCTGGCGCGCCTGGGGCTGCCCGGCGCCCTCGGGGCGGCTGCTGGAGCGGCCGAGGAGGGCCCGGCGGCAGCGGCCGGGGGCGCGCGGGGGCCCAGGGACCCCAGCGGCACGGAGCAGGAAACGGCGGCGGCCACTGCTGCGCGGCGGCAGAAGTCAAGCAGTGGCGAAGCGTCCTGGCTCGCCTATATAGTCCTACCAAACAATGTTCTAAGAACCTTTTTGTGGTTTCCACGAAATGTTCTTAGAACATTTCTGGCGGAGTCTGCGTTGTTTTATCACATCGGGCTTATGTTCTAAGAATATTGTTTTATTATTAGAACATTTTGGGGTTCTAAGAACATTTCGTGGTAGGAGTGTGGGAATGCCGGGACGGTCGGTCCCTGTTCAAAGAAGAGGACGGTGCAGTGACAGACCGTGGGGTGACCTCGGAATCCCACGGAGAGCTCCCCGCACGGCTTTGGGACTCTGGCTGCCCCGAGCGCCCCGGACATCCTCGCAGAGCGGCCCGAGTCCCCCAGCCGTGCCGTCGCCCCGAGAGTGCCCACGGGCGCACCGCACGGTGTGGTCGCCGCGCCGCTTCGGGATCGACCGACCGGCGCTTCGAGCGATTCCCCCCTCGAGCTGTCCGCGGGCGCCCGCACCTGCAGCGGCCCTCGCAGCTGCGGTCCGGCGGCGCATGCGGAGCCGCTCGCGGGCGACTGCAACCGCAAGCGCAACCGAGGAACACGTTTTGGCCCTCCCGCGGGCGCCCGCAATCGCGAACATGCAACGCACTTCGGGCTGCCCCGCGGGCGCTCGCGGGCGCCCGCAACCACACAACCACAATTGCATACAACCGCACGCGCAACCGAATGCAGGCTGCCCCAAGCAGTGACTGCGTTAATGATTCATTCGAAGACCCCTACGGCGAATCACCGCCGCCCCCTGCCTTTTTCGAGCTGGACGAACGGGTAGGATAAGGAAAGGGGGGTACGAAACTTGCTGCATGCAGCTGGTTTCGGCCCCGTCGCCAGGCCCATTCTTCGATCCATGGGCGACTCCCGACGCCAGCAGGCGCCAGGAAAACCAGCTACGTGAGCTGATTTTCCACCCTACCCTTTGCTATCTTCGGTCCCCCTGCCTTTGGAAATTGCCCGTGCAGCGGACTGTTGGGCCGAATTCTGGCCGAGCTAGATGTTATTGAACCCCTTGTGGGAACGTGTGGAATTGGAGGCGGAAAAGGAAGCCTCTTGAGATCGTCTTGTGGCTTCCTCCTGGAGGCTTCTTGGAAGCCTCTTTGGGGCCTCTGCAGGGCTTCTGAAGAGCCTCTGTGGGGCTTCCTAAACTCATGGGGCATCGTGGGGGCCTCTCGGGGGCCTCTGGGACATGTTGGCTTTCAGGGGCCGTCTTGGGAGCTCCTCTTTGGGTGGTTTGCCGTCTTGGAGGTCAATGGGGGCCATCTTGGGGCCCTCCTGGCCCATCTTGCGGGCATCTGAGGTTTTCGGGCGATCCAGCGGGCCTTTGGGGCCGTCTTGGAACGGCGGACGCCCGAAAAGGCGAGAACGTCAAACTCAACGTGAAAAAACAAAAAAGAAAAAACATGCCGCTGCCTCCTGGAGATATTCCTGGAGCCGTCTTGGGGCCTCTTGGCCCCTTTTGGGGCCATCTTGAGCAGTGTTGGGTGCACCTGGATCCGTCCTGGAGACATCTTGGGGCCATCTCGGGATCCTCTCTTGTGCTCTGTTGGGGCCCTCGGGGCCGCCTCGAGGACTCACACCTGGCCGTCTTAAGGAGGCTGTCCGTGGGCCACCTCGGCGGGAAGGCCCGCGACCAGGGCGGTGCTCTGGGTGGCCGGCGCGCGGTCGGCAGGGACCCCGCTGGCGCATTGGAAGCAACGATCCAAGAAAAGCTGAGATCCAGCACTCGAGCAGTGACGAAGCGTCATGGCTCGCCTATAGGGCCTATAGCCCTACCAGACAACGTTCTAATGACCTTTTGTGGTTCCCACGAAATGTTCCTAGAACATTTCTGACTGGGACTGTTTTGTTTTAACACATCGGGTTTATGTTCTAAGGACACTGTTTTTGTTCTCGTGGTATGACTACAGGAATGCCGGGACGGTCGGTCCCTGCTCAATTTAAGCAACGATCCAACAGAAGCTGAGATCCAGCACGCTGTGCACTTGGGGGGCAAGCGACGGGGGGCGGCGGACTGAAGACGCCACCGCCGCCCCCTGCCACTACGTGGCCGAGCGTTGCGGCCAGAGCTCGGCCAGAGCTATGGGGCTCTGTGCTCCCCAAGCCCTTGTGGAAACCCTTCGGAGAACGCGTCGGGGAGAAATATGGAAAGGAGGAGAGAGAGGAAAAAGGATGAGGATGAGGAGGAGGAGGAGGAGACCTCTTGAGAGCGTGTTGGGGCACTCTGGGGTCCTCCGGGGGGCCTCTCGGAGGCCTCCCGGGGGCTTCCTTGGGCCTTTGGAGGCTCTTTGCTTTTTTTCCTGCCTGAGGGCGTTCCTGGCTTGTCTGACTCCGTGGGAAGCCGTTTAGGGGCCTCTCTGGGCCGACTTGGGGCCCTCTTGGGGTACTTCAGGGCCTTTTTGGAGGCCATCTTGGGCGTCTTGGAGGTCTCATGGGCCGTCAGGGGGCCATCTCAGAAGCCTCTTGGGCGCTCTTGGAGCCATCGTGGTGGCCTCTGGGGCCCCGTCTTAGGCCCTCCGAAAACCGAAAATGAACATGAACAACCGCATCATCCTGCAAACACCGAAGGGAAATCAGTGATGTTGGCCTCTTCGGGCGCTCCTGGAGTTCCTCTGGAAGGCCTCTTGGGCCGTCTTGGACGCCTCTTTGGCCGCCTTGTTCGATGTTGAGGCCATCTTGGGGGCATGTCGGCCCGTCTTGGAGATATATTGGGGCCAGCCTGGGCTCTCTTGGGGCCATCGTAGCCGTCTTGGAGACCATCTTGGCCGTCGTGGCTGCCATCCTGGGGCCGCCTCGAGCGGAAAGACCGACGACCTGGGAAGTTTGGGGGTCCTTGTGAGGCGGAAGACCGATAGGAGGCCGGCCGGCGCATCAGGCCGAGACCTTTTTTGGGATCTTTCGAGAAGAGCCAAGACAGCATAACGCCCGGTGCGCCGCGCACCCCTGGCCCGCCACTCGGGGGTGGCGGATCTGGTGGTATTCGGCCTATCCGGCCACCGTGCTTGGATTGTGGGTCAGAGGCCTCTGGGATGCCTCGTGGGAGCGCCTCTCGGGGGCCTGTTGGAGGCCGCTTGGGTGCCTCTTGGGGGCCGCTGTGGGTCCTCTTGGGCGCCTCTGGGGCCGTGGGCGTCTCTGGTGGCCACGTGGGAGCCTCTTGGCGATAGCGGGGGCATCTTGGCACAAGGGGCTCCTTGGGCGATTCTTTTTCCCTCCTTGGGCAGAAAACCGCCAAACACTCATGGGTGGTGATGCTTTCTGGCTTCGGGAAACGTCCTGCGACAACTCCAACAAAACACGCGGTGCATCCCAGGAACTCAGGCAGGTGGAGCTATGGGCTTTTGAAAGATCATGCAATACTCGGTATAGAGTACTCGCAGGGGCACGAGGACATTAGACTTGGTTCCTACGACACGGTGGCGGATAACGATAGAAGCTGAATCACCAGAGAAATTCAACATTTGATGTGGCGCGTTGTGTCTGGAACAATCTCTGGCGAAGCGCATGGCGCAACATCTGTGAGGTGGACGGAGTGAGGGCATCGCAATGTGTGTGTGTGTCTGTCAGGCAGAGAGCGTAGACATCTCGACTTCGATGGTGCGCGTTGTGCCTGTCAAACCTATATCGCAACATACCCATATGAAAGGTAGACAGAGTGAGGCAATCACAACATGATGTTGCGCGCGCGGTGCTTGGCGCAACCTATGGCACAACCCACGACAGCTTGATAAAAAGGGGAAATCGTTGTCGGGCCATACGGAATGGGCGGGTGGGATCAAGGTGGGCGGGAAAGAGGGTGGAATGCTGCACGCAGCCACCTTCGGCTCTGCCGCAGGACACGATGCGTGGTCGCTCCCAGCGCGAAAGCTAGCTGCAGCGCGCGCAGCTGATTCGCAAACCTTCCCCCTGCTATTCGGCGGCGAGCGAGGGGGGGAAGTGAGAGGGAGAAGGCCTTCTCAGGAGGCGGCGGAACTTCTCTGAAGCCCTCCAGCCTTCTGAGAAGTTTTCTGAGTCTTCGGGGAAAGCCCAGAAAACATCTCAGAAGGCGCGGGGACTTCCGAGCCTTCTGAAAAAAAAAACCGCCCCTGCTCACTTCCCCCCCTCTCTCGCTGCCGAGCTATCCTCCCCCTCCGCGTCCGCCCCGATGCCTGGGCCTCCTCGGCCCACCTGGAGGGAGAAGCCGACCCTGCGGTGACTCTTCGAGACGTCCCCCTGCTCCTCACCCCAGGCGCGCGAGAGCCGCGGGCGGCGAGCCCGTCCCGCACGGTGTGCGAGCCGGCTGCCATGCGAGTAGCAAATTCGAGCCGCTGGGTGTGATGCGCGCTGCTTGTAGGAGAAGGAGGAGGAGGAGGAGGAGGAGGAGGAGGAGCAGGAGCAGGAGCAGGAGGAGGAGGAGGAGGAGGAGGAGGAGGAGGAGGACGACGACGACGACGACAACGAACGCTGCCCCCCCAGGCCCGGGTGGCCTCCGCGGCCCCCGAGCGGGAGCGGCCTCGACGCCACCAGGGGCGGGGGCTCAGCGGGGGAACGCCTGGACCCCAGGCGCCCAGTCACCGCCGATGGGGCCTCGGGTACCCCACCCCACTCGGGCCGAACGAAAGGGGGGGATAGGGAAAGGGGGGGTTACGAAGTCTGCTGCATGCAGCTGGTTTCGGCCCCGCCGCCGGGCCCATTCCTCGATACATGGGCGCCTCCCGGCGCCGGGAGGCGCCGGGAAAATCAGCCACGCGTGAGGTGATTCTCAAACCCCCCCTTTGCCATCCCCCCCCTTTCGCCCGGCCCGACCCGCTCGGGGACGGGCGGCCTCGCCATCGGGGGCTTATCACCGATCCATCGGCAAGGTATCGCCGATTCCAGGCCGATGTTTTCCCCCCACCCACCCCGTGAAGCCAGCCCTGGTCGGTGCTTCCAACGCGCTCCTCCCCACTCACAGGTCGGTGTCCCCCCCCCCCCTTTAAGCCAGCACAGGTCGATGTTCCCGCCCCGTGAGGCCAGCCCTGGTCGATGCTCCCCCCTGCAGCCGGAGCCCGTCCCCGCGATCCTTCCCCCTCGCAGCCCCGCGGCGGCCTGGTGCCGCCTCCGGCGGCGCCCCCCGGGGGCGCTCCGCGCTCGGACCGCCCCGGAGTCTCTGCCGGGGGCTGCGCGTGCGCAGCCCGAGGCCTGGCCGGCCGAGGCGTGGGCGGAGCGGGCGCAGGTCAGGAAGAGGAGGCCCTGTGGAGGAGGAGGAGGAGGAGGAGGAGGAGGAGGAGGAGGAGGAGGAGGAGGAGGGAGGAGGGAGGAGGAAGAGGAGGGAGGAGGAGGAAGAGGAGGAGGAGGAGGAAGAGGGAGAAGGAAAAGGAATTGGCAGATGAGAAGCAGGAGGAGGGCGAACAGAAGGCCAGAGGCCTCTTGGATGCCTCTTGGAGTCTCTTGGTATGTCTCTTGAGGGTTTCCTGAGGCCCAAGGCCCCGCGGAGATGCCCCAAGCGAGGACGAGACCAAGGTGGAGAGCCCAGGCGCGAAGAGCAGAAGGGCACCCCTCCTCGAGGACAGATGGGGCTGCTCTAAGTCCTCGCGGCAGCTGCACGCGAGAACCTCGAAGCGCTGGCACAAGAAGCGCCCAAGGGTCCACGAGACGCTGCGGAAGACTTCGATCGCGTCCTCCCTCCCTCCCCTCCTCCCTTCCCCGACTTCCTGCAGACTGTGTTTTACAAGCCGCGGGCCCAAGAGGTCTCTACTCCTTCCCGAGGGCCAGTGTTCCGCCCCGGGCCCGTTCCTGCTGGCCCTGGGCCCCGAGAGCGGAGCACATTTGAGGCCGCAGCGGAGGAAGAACGCTGAGGTCGAAACCCACCACGACGTCGCAGGCTTGGGCCTGCGCGCCGCCAAGTCCGCCCCCCGCCCATCTGGCCAGAGCCACCGGCGCCCGTCGCGGCGGAGGAGGAGGAAGAGGACGACGCCACGAATTACGCTCAAAGCTTGCCCAACGCAAAAGTAGGAAGAGGCGGAGGAGGCGGAGGAGGAGGAGGAGGAGGGGGAGGATCTAGCGGGATGATGGGAAGCGCGCGCCGCGCCCGGCGCCCAGACGTGGACGCGGCCATCGCCATGTCGACGGAGCAGAGGACGAGGCTGCAAGAAGCCGTGGAGCCGCCCCCCGGCGCGGCGCGTTCGTGGGGCGGTCGGCCCAGGCGTGCGGGGGCGTCAGGGCCAGGGGGGGGTGGATACCATGGCCAAGGCCACGACATCTCCAGATTTCATGCTCCCCTCCCTCTTCTTATTATTCTTCTTGTTCTTCTTCTTCTTCTTATTATTATTAGTATTAGTATTAGTATTATTATTATTATTATTAGTACTACTATTGTTTTCATTATTATCATTCTTATTATTTGTTTTTCTTCTTCTTCGTCTTCTTCTTCTTCTTACGTACGTTCCCTGGCCCCCCCGTCCGCACACCTACCCTGGGCCAGAATGCGATAACGCGATGAACCTCTCTTCCCGCGGTGGACCCCAGATCTGGCGCGTCGGCACAAGCAGTGGCGGCCGGTTTGCGCTCCTCTCTTGTTCTTTGTAGGCCCCTGGCTCCCGGCGTGAGGGTGGCCCTGCGGGAAGGGCTCGAGAGAAACGGAGGCTCACTCATCAAAAAGTCGAAGCGCGAGATGAGTGGGTCTGGCAGTCTGTCTGCGTTGGTTTTGACGGTCGACGCTTTGTCGACAGGTTCGCGCCGCGTTGGCACGGCGGCGACCCCAGCGCGGGCGTTCAAGGTCGAAGGCCGCCACTGGCCCGAAGTCTGCAGAGATCGAGCGATCTGCGCGGTTGGACAGCCGCGATCGCAGTGTTTCGAGAGAGACACGCGGCGTCCGAAGCCAACGCCGATGCCATCGCGACGTGAACCTGCCGTACCCTAACTGTTGCCTCCAGCTATTCACCGTGAGCCACCAAGAGATGGGCCTCGGAGGAGGGACTCAGAGAGTTGCTTCACTGTTTTCGAGCTTCCGGGACCCTCCACTCCACGGGCCCTGGGGCTGCCAGGAAGCATCCATGACACGACACCTGTCCAACGGGAAAGCTCCGGGGGTCCAGGCCCGCTTCCACAAGGGCCCCTCCCTTGTGCTGCCTGCCAGAAGTCGTGGGCGTTTAAGGAGTCGCGCATGGATAAGAATTTCGGCTCTGGGTATTTTTGTTTACCATTATTGTCAATACTCCGACTCTGGCCCTTCGTGGGGTTTGAGCGTGAGCAAGGATATGGTAGAGCGTCGATCGGCTAGTCATCGCCGTCAGCGTCGTCAGCGCCAGCGTCGACGTCGAGTACGTCGTCGTGGGTGTCAGCGTCAGCGTCAACGTCAACGCCAGCGTCGTATTGGTGGTCGTCGCAGTCGTTGTTGTAGCATTTTCCTGACTCGTCGCAGTCGTCTTCGTCGTCCTCGTCGCCTCATGTCTCGTCATCATATGCGTCCTCGCCCTCATTCTCGTCCTTGCCCTCCCTCCCTGCGTTGTCCTCCCTCTGCCCACTCTGCCTCCCCCTTGTCGCCCTCGTCCACGCAGCCCTTCATCATCTTCGTCATCGTCCCCATTACTCTCGTCATCACCCTCAGCATCACCCTTAGCAACATCCACATCGTCATCATCATCATCAGCATCACCACCATGCGCATCACCATCACCATCAGCAGCATCACCATCCTCATCAGCATCATCAGTACCACCACCATCACCATCATTATCATGGTCGTCATTATCAGCAGCATCGTCATCACGGCCATGAACATCATGTAGCCATGATGGCTCAAAGCCATATAGGGACGTCATCTCCCGTATCGAGGTGCTCCAGGAAGACCGATGGGGCCTTACAGGTGGTTCAGTGCAGAGGCGACCCACGAGTCTGGCGCGCACGCATGTCTCCGCTTACTGAGGTGTTCCGTGCTAACATGGGCGGCACCAACAGATAAGTTCTTCCATTGGTACCATGGCGACTTTTGTGACGAAATCCTGACCTCGGCGCCAGTATCCTGCTGCTCCGCAGCACGGGTAGTCTCATGTTGGACAATGCCACTGAGAAAGTCCTGATGGCCTCCGTCAGCTTTGCGACCGCTGGAACTGCCACCCTCGAGTCCAATATGGAATTATGGCCGACAGCCATGTGCAGACCCAGAAGGGTTTCGAGGACATCGTCAAGCATCCAGGCGACATGTTCGATCCCAAGTTGGCCATCATATCATGTAGTGAAGTAGTATGGCATCGGCCAGGCAGCGGCCATCAATGACCCTAAGGAGAATGTAAGTTCCGACGTCATGGGTTCCGACGTCGTGGGTTCCGACGTGGTGTTCCGACGTCCGCGGGGTGTGTATCCGACGCCGGCCTCAGTTTCAAATTCCGACGGCTTGCTGTGAGGCTGAACCCTTTGTTTGAACGTCGTGGGTGCGAGGCTTCCCGCGCACCCAATGGCTCTCGCATCAAGAGGCATTTCGACATCATGAAGGGCCAGTTCCTCCAGCTCACAAACGCGGGGTGCAAGCCCATTGATGGCAAGCTCACGTACCCCATATCCTTCCAATCGTCCGGCGTTCCTTTGGCAGCGCGCGCCTCGCCCACGCTCTGCGTCGACGGCCGCGAGACAAGCGACAGAGTAGAACTCCGCGTCGCGACGGACCGTCCCATGCCTGGCAGGCTCGGAAAGCGCGCGCTCTCCAATGCACGGGAGACATCCTTCGCAGTCGAAGTGCGCGGCGCGAGGTGGTCAAGCATGGCGCAGACCCATGCGCGAGCAGATGCTGAATCGCAGATGGTGATGAGTGTATTAGGCTGGTTACATGGACCACTGACGCCCCCGACAGTTCCCTCTTCAAAGTCGCAGCGCGCAATGGGGAAGATGCAAGAGCGAGGTTTCACAGCTAAGCAGATCGCTAGTTGTTGTGCGGAGTTTCAGAGACAGGCCCATGACGATTGCGGGTTCGATGGCCGGCCGCGCCCGACTCTTTCCAAAATTCTGTCGTTTTGCAGGCGGGGTTCCTCATAAGTTGCTTTTCTCTCCCCTTGCTCTCCTCTCTTCTTCTCATTTGTATCACCTCGGAGTTTCCGCCTGCGTGGAAGGCGCCAGTTTCGCTGCGCCCTGGGTTGAGCATTGCAACGTACAACGCAACCAATCACTGCACCGCTGGCAGAGCAAGTGGGCCCGCAACGTTTCCGGCGTGTTCCAGACATGGAAGATAACCTGTCTAGGAGAGCGCCATGGCCCCCGCCGGGCTGCCTCCACGAGGAATTTCTGGGGCTCGGGCATTTAGCAGGCATCGGTTCCCCAGGGCCGGGGGCATTGCGATATCGGTGGATAGAGATGTGGTCTTCTCTTTCCAACGTTCGCATCCAAGGACGTCATCGAGGCTGACGGGGCGGCAATGTCAAGCACGTCAGGCCCCGCGGTTTCGTTGCAGATCGGGGGCGTGTGCATCGAGCCTGGGCTGCCACCGCCAGCGTTGCAGAATCCGTCGCGCAGGCGTCGCTCTCGCCTCTTGTCTGACCGAGAGCCCCTCGTCATTTGTCGCGGAGATTTGCAATTTCTTAGAGGGCAGCGCGCAGGGGGTCAGCGTCGAGAGCAGCTCCGCGAGAGGCGAGGCCCTCGGCAGCGGTCGACAAGTTGCGCGGCGCGTTCCGCGAAGAAGCCGAGGTTGAGCAAGTCGATATCTTTCGCCGATGCACCCCGGACAACTCCCCTGGGCGGCATATCGCGCGCGCGAGCTGTCCTGCCGCGGCCCTTCTCGAGCTTCTCCCCGCCGCGGGTCTGATTTCTCGGCGACGCGCGAGGCCGATTCGGACCGCTGGACCGCGTTCCTGCCGATTTCCGCGCAAAGATGGGTCACGGAGCATAGCGGGCACCTGTCGCTGCCCGAGAACGCGGCGCAACGTCTGCAACGTCAGCGAGGACCGACCCGGGATGCTAGTGCCGGACAGAGCGCATGCTCTTCGTCAAAAACGCGCGTCAGCGTTGGATCATCGATTTTCAAGCAGCGCCTCCAGACGCCCCGCCAGGATATATCCATCTACCAGGAGCCCGGGAAAATTTCCAGGCCCCGTCGGGATGGCTCGCCGTCACTTTTTGTTCCATTTTGCGCGTGCGCTCGCGCGCAGGGGGGGCCGCTCTTCGCAGTCCCTGAATGTCGCGCAGAGGCGCGCGACGTCGCATCCGCTCTCGGGCCCCCATCATGGATTCGCCTCTAGAGTTTCTCGAGGGCCCCGGCGGGCCTCGCGGGCGCAGGAACTCTGCCGGGAGGCTCTGCAAGGAGATCTCCCACGGGCTTTCGAACATGGCTATCGCCCCCCTGTTCGCGACGACCCGATGGTTGACGGAACCAATAACTGCCGCGCTGGAGCTTCGGGGGGCGACCGGTTCCTATTGCGGGCTGCGCATCCGATGAAGGTCTCGCTCTCGCCCCCGGCGAGAGCGCCCGGCGCCGTCGGGGGGGGGGCTGGGCCGAGGCGGGCGCGCAACGCGCCCCCCCCCCGCCGTTGCTGAGACCCCCCGACGCCGCCATCTTTCGCAGTTGCGCCAGCCCCGGCGTCGACTGGCGGGCGGGCGGGGGGCGGGCGGGGGGGTGCGATTCACGGCGCGGTGCCGCGCGAGAACGGAAATGCGCCCCCCCGCCCTGATGGCGCCCCATCATCGGCATGGAGGGGTGGAGGCGCGCTTGCGCGCGATGCCTTGTTCTGTGAATATTTTGCCCATTCAAGCGGAGCGCAGCTGCCCGTAGACTTGCTCCGCGGGCTCCGTCGCCCCCCCCCCCGAGGAGGACTTCGACGGGGGAGAAAGGGGCCGGCGCAGTCATGGGGCCCCGCTCAAACCAGACCCATTGTTCCGGCCAACACGGACGCAGCGTTCCTTTCCGCCGGCGCGCCCCCCCCCCCGAGCACGCCCAGTTCTTGGCGGCCAAGTTTCAGCCAGGCGGGGTCGCGGAGAGGAATGGCCCGGTCTTTTGTGTTCCTCGAAGGGGCCTTGCTCGAGCGCGTCTGTGACGAGGCCTACGAGGGGGCAGGAGGTGCCCCGCGCGACCTCAAAGCTGCGTTCCCGTCCGCGCTGCGCTCCTGGACATGTCATTCGGTCGCTGCGCGCCCTTGCATTATGCGTCGCTGTTCTTCGCCGGCCGCCGCGGCTGAGACCGCCGCGCGCTGGGGGGCCGAGGGGTTCAATGCGCGGAAGGGCGAAGAATGGGCGCCCGCTCAACGCGCCAGTTCCGAATCCGGTCTTCAATCCGACGGCGCGGTCGCTCGACCGCAACCTTCTGCCCGTTGCCCAGCCGCGCACTTGCGTTCGAGGGCGTCGCGGGCGCGACCTCGAGCGGCATGGCAAAGGCGACTTCTGCAGCATGGAATTTGTTCCAGCTTGTCGGGGGCTTGCTTTCGGGCCTCCAACTGAACCTCGAGGGGCGCGTCGCGGGGCCCCGTCTGCTGAGATGACCTCCGCAATCCAGCTGCGCTCGAGGAACTCGGAGTCCAAGATGCTCAGCTGCTCTCGCGCGGCACCAGCGGGAAGCAGTCGGGCATGCGCCGAGGCCCCGGCGGGCCCTGCCCCTCGTGGATATGCCCGGGCGGCCAAGTGCGCCCGTGGAAGGGGTTGCGTCAAGGGGCGCAAGACGGGCTGGATGACCAACGTCAGGATCTACAGCGCGGTCGAATTTCCTGCCCCCTCGCACGCGCTCCACCTTGAGGCCGAGTTTTCCCCGCGTCGACGCAGAAGAACTGATGGTGCGTCGCGGCCGCCCCGAGGTTTTTCTTCCCGACCGCAACGACAGGGGCTCTCATCGAAGACGTCTGCTTCCCAGTGTAGGCAGAGGGCCTGGCGAGGGAGAGTCGGGCCGCTGTGCTCCGCGTCGGTCTTCATTCGGAAATCTTCCAGTCTGTGCAAGTGAGGCTCCATTTCCTTGCTGACGAGGACAGGGGCGCCCCTGTGCGACGCCTCCGCGAGTGGCACGACGACTCGATGCGCATTTCTCCGGGCGGGGCTACGACGGGGATGCATCCGCCCCGGAGCGTGCCGGAAAACTCTTAGAGCGTTCCAGAACGTTCCGAGAAGGCCGCGACGCCCGATGCATCCCCCAGAGCCGCTGGACCTGAGAGATTATCGATTTCTCCTGGCCCGAATTTGTCCTCGTCCTGGCTTTGTCTCATCTCTGTGCTGTGGATATCACGGGCCTCGCGGCGATTCCCCGATTCGCGTTCGACCCGGACACTTCCCATTTTCAAAGTAAAGTAGTGTGGTTTCTGAAATTCCTCAGTTATGTCCACGTTTCTGTGTCGTCGAAGTCGTTATTCGCTCCATGGCACCCCTCTGCCCCCCCGCGTGTGACCAACAGGGTTCCCCTGAATCTCGGCCTGGCCAATGAGTCGCTCCCTACCTCCACTGTCGTGGCTTATTTGAATTATGTGCAACGCTTGGCCTACGACAACAAGGTATCGCCAGCGTTTCGAGTGTTGCAGAGTTTGTGGTTCGCGTCGATTGTTATGTAGGTACTTCCGCCCTGCGGAGTTCCTTATTTCTGAAAGAGCGTGTTCTACCGCTGCTGGCGGAAAACCAAGGGGGGTCACTACCGGTTCGACCCCCCCCCTCCGGAAAACCAGGGGGGTCACTACCGGTTCGAACCCCTCCCTCCCCCCCCCAGCTCATCATAAAAATGGGGGGGGGGGTCACTACCGGTTCGACCCACCCCCCCTCCTTCGAAAACCGGGGGGGGTCACTACCGGTTCGAACCCCCCCCCCTCGAAAACCAAGTGGGGACGCGGACAGTGGTGGGGACGGTGGTGGCGGAGACAGTGGCGAGGGGACAGCGGGACAGTGGTGGGGACAGTGGGACAGTGGTGGGGACGGTAGTGGTGGGGACAGTGGTGGGGACAATGGTGGGAACAGTGGGGACAGTGGACAGTGGTGGGGACGGTGGTGGTAGGGACAGTGGTGTGGGGACAGTGGGAATGAGGTGGAAACAGTGGGACAGTGGAGGGTACAATGGTGGTGGGGACAGTGGTGAAGGCGGTGGCGAGGACGGCGGTGGGACAATGGGACAGAGGTACAGTGGAGACAGTGGTGGGGACAGCGGGGACCGTGGTGGGCACAGTGTGACAGCTCAGTGGGACAGCGGAGGAGTCAGTAGGAACGTGGGGACACTGGGGTTAGTCGGGCAGTGGTTGGGGCCGTGGAGACAGTGGGGAGACTGGAACCGTGGTGGGAACAGTGGTGGGACAGTGGGGACAGTGCGACAGTGGTGGGGGCACTGGTGGGGACAGTAGGGACGGTGGTGGAACCACTGGGGACAGCGGTGCTGGGAGCAGTGGGGGATGTGATGCGGACGGTGGTAGGGACTGGGAATCGTTTGCTGGCGGTGAGTGGGGGGGGGGGGAGGGGTTCGAACCGGTAGTGAACCCCCCTCGGTTTTCGAGAGGGGGGGGGGGGGGGGTTCGAACCGGTAGTGACCCCCCCGGTTTTCGAGGGGTGGGGGGTGGGAGGGGGTTCGAACCGGTAGTGACCCCCCCCGGTTTTCGAGGGGAGGGGGGGGGGGGGGTTGCCGGGGGAGGGAAGGGGGGGGTCCAGCAAGGGGGGGGGGGGATTTTCGGAAGAGGAGGGGGGGGGGGGCGACCCCCGGGCTGCGGAGGAAATGGCTGGCAATTTTCCACAGTAAAGTTGCGGTGGATCGCGCTCTCTCTTACTTTTTTTGCCCCAATCGTTGGTATCCGTCGCCCCAGTGTCTTGTTTGATCCTGCGAGATTTGGCAAAGTTGTTTTAGGGGACGGTTGCTGCTGTGTTTGCTCTTTTGTGTTTCCACGAACGCTCGTCGGGACGACAGGGCCAGGTTTGATCCCAAAACTGGTTGCGGCGCGGGCCAGGGCGCTCGCGAACAGACCGGCTGGGGTTAGGAATTTTCGGCCATCATTAACAACATCGCCATGAACATTGGTTCCGCCATCATTTGCAGTATCTTCGTTTCTTTTTGCCCGCATCATTCTGACTTCTGCAGTCCCATCATTATCCTCGTCCCTGATGTCATCATCGCCATCAACATCAGCATTATCATCATAATCACTCATTATCAGTTTCCTTCCGTTTATGTCCCCGTTATGTCCTCCCCAACGTTTTCTTCTCCAGCCCTCCTCGTTTGCCTTCGTCTTTCTCGTCGTTTAGCGAAGGTTTTCCGGCGGGTGCCGCCGACCTTGCGCGTAACGCTCAGCACGAGACTGTCGCACAAAAATGCTGAGGAGGAGGAGGAGGAGCAGGAGGAGGAGCAGCAGGAGGAGCAGGAGGAGGAGAAGGACGATGGAAGGGGGAGGAGGAGGAGCAGGAGGAGGAGGAGGAGGAGGAGGAGGAGGGGGAAACCGGGAGGGGGGGAGGTGGGGGCATACCGTTTGGGGTTTTCGGGGGGCCTTCTTGGGTCCATTCTGCAAACCTCGTGAGCCCTCTTTTGGCCATCTTGGGGTTGTCCAGGGGGCAAATGTGGAGTCGTTTTATGCACCCGTGGGCCTCTGTTGGGACTCTCGTGGGTCTCTGGTGGAGCCATCGTGGAGGCCATAGATCACAGAAGGAGGGGTCCAGATGTGCGTCCCCCCGTCTGGGTGCGAAACTGAGCTTCTTCAGGCTCTTTTGACACGCCACCGAGGCGCTCTCAGGCGCTCTCGGGGCCGTTTTCGGGGTCATCTTGCAGTTATACTGAAGCCTCAAGAGCCCAGCGAAAGCGAACATGTGAGAAAGTTAAACACATTGGAAAACAATGCAGTGTTGAGTAAGTGCCGCCTCCTGGTGGGCTCCTTCGGAAGCTCAGTGGCCACTAGGAGCCGCCTTGGAGCGGACCCGAGGCCACTTGCAGGCATGTTGGAAGCCATCTTGAAACAGACGTGGCTACCTTGGACGGTTTTGAAGGTGGCTGTTTGGAGGCTTCTTGGAGCCCTTTCGAGTCCCAGGGAGAGGCGACGCACCCCAAGGACCCCCCACACGCACGCGAGAAACGGGATCAAAGGTAAGGGGCTTCCTTCCCTGCGGTTCCGTTTCGGCGTTGCTGGGTTTCCGTCTGGCTGGCGCGTGAGGAGGAGGGCCCAGGGAAAGGGGGGGGGAAGACGACGACGACGACGACGACGACGACGACGACGACGACGACGACGACGACTGAAACGGGAAAGCGTTACACACGCCGACAGGCTCGGCGGATTCCCCCTCGCATTTTACCAGCATCATCATTGTCATGCGCAGGAAGCGGAGGAGGAAACGACCAAACCCCACGTCGTGATCTGTTCACGACCTGGACCCCAGAAGGTTTCGAGTTCTTATGCAGATGTTGGGTGTTCATCCTGATCATTTGATTTGCTGTCCTGGGGCCCAAAAAAGTGCTCCCAGAGTGTCAAACTTGCCAGAAACTTTCAATCGTGCTTTTTTACCACGCGAAGCGGCCTGAGGTTCTCGGGAGAAGCAGCAGGAGGAGAAGCGGTATCGGCAGCAGTAGTTTGTGGTCCGGAGCATGCGGGAGAGCACGAGTTTGGGACCAGTGGAATTTTGGAGCCACAGCGAAGGCAACGTTCGTTCGGACCGATGCTAGTGCAACCCCGCTCCCCCGAGGAGAAGGGGTCGCCGTTCAGAGCCGTGCTAGTCAACAAGAAGAAGTCTGGGCAATTGTTCCGTCTCCTCCCTCTCCTTCCCCCCTCCGCAGTTTTCTCCTCCCTCCTTTCCCCCCCCCAGGCCCTCCTCTTCCCCTTCCCTCTCCTGTCTCATCCTCATCACTCCTCCATCTTTTCTTTCCTTCCCTCCTCCCCCCTGTTCCCCTCCCCATCAGGACGGATCCCAGGGCACGCGCGCACGATTGTTCCAAGCATTCCAAGCTTGCAGTCAATGCACCCTCGTGCATGGACGGGTAGACTACGTGGAATGTCAATTCCAGGCAGCACTTATCTTGTATGGTAAGCTTGTCCAGCTCATGACGTCCACCTGTTGTCTGTGCCTGTATGAGCACTTTTCTTCCAAGCGGGCCACACGAATTGTTCGATGCTAGCTTACGGTGGCCGCGTTGGTTAGCATGTCTTACTATGCATTGTGAAATGTCATTGCCATGCCATAGACCGTTTGTGGGTCGTCGGCTTCGCCTCGACAGAACCAAGAGGAAACAGTGCAATCGGTGTGCGTGTGCTGCTGTTGTCCTCTGCCCCCTCCGCCGCATGCTCTCCCAGTGATTCATGGCTCAAGGTTCTTAAACCTGCTGGACCTCAGGGGGCTGATCATCGCAAGGACGGGTGTCTCAAGGAGGAGGGGGACCAGAAAGACGACGAAAGGTGCCTTCCCATCGTGCCAAGGTACGGAGGCGGAACGAGGGATCGCCAGCGCTGCGTGCTCTGAGAGAAACCCGGCACCGAGCTGGTGCCGGACAGAAGTTGCTCAGGGATTGGCCGAAAGGAGGGAGGAGGGAGCTGGTGGAAGGGCGTGGGAGGCCCGGAGGCGGTGGGAGGCCTCTGGGGAGGAGGGGGGCAGAGGCAGAACTCGTACCTTTGCACCACTGTTTTGAGGCATGAGCACCGCGTGTTCGCAGCAGTTTGGATCATGAGTTTCCCGTCAGATGTAGGCCTCCATCCCATCCCTCCCACCTCCTTTCCCCGCCTCTGCCTCCCCCATCTAGGAACATCCCGACGCAGCCTAACACCGTCCGCAACCACCCCGAAGCAGTCCAAAACATTCAACAGCATCCGAAAATCGCCCAACCTTTTCAATTGCCCTCGACGCCCTTCGAAAACATCAGACCATCTCCACCCTGCTCCGTGCCCTCCTCCCCAGTAGCCATTTTGTCTGAAGTTTTTCCCCAGCACGCGGCCGGGCTTGGCCAGCATGGCGTAGCGTCGTACGGATGAATTGCTCCCGTGGGGAGCGCCAGCGGCCGTGTGGCAGGGTCGACCTAGACGGTGCTTTTGCGATTTCGTGTACCGTTTCCGTATCGATTTCGTTTTGCGGTACGGGCGGATGGAAGATTAAACGAGGGACAGCGAGAACAAAGCGAAAACGGAAAACATTGTGCACAGCCGACCCGCACAATAGGGAAGAGCGAATTTCCCAACGGTGCCCTTGCATCCTCACCTCCTCGGCCCATCCTTGGCCACGTTCGTTCGCCGCGCCGCGCTCGAAGAGCCTCGAGACGGACGCCCAAGGGGCCCTTGCTAGGGGAACAAAAAGTGGCATAAACATAAAAACTCGGACGTCCGCGCGGTTTTTTCGGATCGGCGCTGGGGCCCCCCCGGCGGCGCCTCCGGCGCCGCCCCTGGCGCGCTCCGCGCGCCAGGGAGGGAGGTCCAGCGCCGATCCGAGAAATCCGCGCGGACCTCCGAGTTTTTATGTTTATGTCACTTTGTGCTCCCCTACTTGCATCCTCATCGCGCATCCTTATGACACGGGTTGACCTGGCTGTAGGGCGCTCCCTGCCGCATGGAGGAGCGCCGCGAATCCGCAGCCGACCTCGGCACACCGCCCGCCCAGTTGTGGCTGCAGTCTTGATTTTGTGAGATAGGTTTAGCATAAAGATCCCCTAGAGGGGAACAGTGGAGCAGAAAGCGAGAGGACGTTCATCCGTCCTCATTTGGTTCAAGGTCAAAACACCTGCTTGCTCCTGCTGCTGCCACAGTTGGTAGCGGAGCGTGGCCTCGTCCAGACAGCCATGGGTGGCGGCGCGCGGCTCCGGTGAGGGTCGCCAGCCGTCTGTTCGCGAGCTCTGGACCTGGTCGCGCTCGACCGACGTGCGGCGTGGGATCCACGGCAGATGGCCAGAGAACAAGAAGGAACACACTTCCTCGACGGACAACAGGGACAGCGTGCCGGTGGCCAGGCCGCCGAAGGCGCTGCAGGGGCTGCCGAGGCAGCCACAGCCGCGGGCGTGACGCAGCCGCAGCACCTGAGCGACGAGTTGAGGAGCAGATCCTGAAGCTGGTGCGGGAGGCAGTGCAGAGCACTGGCAACTCGAGTGCGTCGGCAGCCGCGGCGAGAGACAACGACGGCCAGGATCCATGGAGCCAGGTTGCTCCACGGACTTCACCTAGCGGGAAGGACCAGGACCGGGACCAGACCTGGGAGAAGAGCTGGGACGACACGACCTGGTCCGACCAGAGGTGGCAGCAGGACGGCAAGGATGCTGGCGATGGTGGGTGGAACAGTTGGCAACAGTCATGGTGGCAGGGTCCCCAGTCGATTCGGGGAGACTACTCCGGGTTAATCGGACCCGCCATCGCGGCCAGGCTGGGGACATTACCGGGCCTGGAAGAAAGCACTACGCCGGTGGAATCAGAATACGGACGTGCCTCTGGAGACGGTCGGAGAAGTTTCTCAAGCTCTTCCATTGGACCATGCAGGCCAAGTTCGATGACGCTCCAGAGGACCAGCTGGCGGGCGCCGCTTGGCTGGACACGGTGCTGGCGCGGATGGACCTGATGAGCGGCGAGCGAGAAGGCGACGAGCTTCGTCGTGCTGGTCGCCAAGCTCTGTACGAGGGCCTCCGCGAGCAGAAGGAGTCACTTACGCAGTTCGTGGCTCGACGAGATCAACAGTGGTTAGAGGCGGAAGCTCACGACATATGGATGTCGGACAAGCTGAAGAGGTTCATGCTTGAGGAGGGCGCGGGCCTGTCGGCCCAGAGCTCGCATAACCTCAGGACGCTGACGAAGCGAAGCCTTCAGTGCAAGGATGTCGCGCGGGCACTGAGGCAGTTAGATTGCAGCATTGGGGGGGGGCTCCTGCCCTCTCGGCTGGGATCTCACCCAGTCGTGGCCGCAGACGCCCGCTATGGCAATGACGAGTTGCATTTTGCCACTCCCCCTCTTCCTCGCCCCCCTCTCCGAGTCCTATCCTGCCGGAGGCCAAGGTCCGGGGACTACTGGCGAGGAAGCTGACGACTACGCGGACGACGACCAGCTGGAGGGCGATGCGGCCGACATCTCCGAGGCGGATGTTGCAGCAATCTTGACGGAGATCAACGACTGGGACCTAGCGGAGGGCGAAGCCGAGGAGGTCCACCCGCAGCTGGAGAAGAAGGCCCGACAGCGGACCTGGAAGCAGAACAAGGACCTCAAGCGCGCGGCCAAGCAGGATCGAGAGTTCTTCTAGGCCCCACCGCGCGATCGCCCTGGCCAGTCTGGCCGAGGAGGTCGGCGGCCGGGTCGAGGCCGAGGCAGGGGCTCTTGCCGAGGGGGCCGCGACCGCGCGGAGAGGAAGCCGCGCCTTTCCATTCAGCAGCTTATGAAGGTGACGAGCTGCCACAGGTGCAAGAAGAAAGGGCATTGGTCTCGAGAATGCCCAGAGTCGAAACCGCAGGCTGGGAGTGCCATCGCCGCGGCTACAGCTACCCGGTTAACCGGCCCGCGGACTTGGCCAGGCTGCAGGAGGCGCAGCAGGAGGCCGGAGCCATCTTCCTGGACGCCCCAGCCACCCAGGGCCTCATCGATCCAGGTGCTGGGAGCGACATCGTCGGTAGACGGGCCCTCGACAAGGAGTCGAAGGTACTGGCCAAGCATGGGCTGCAGTTCGCGCCGGCGCCTCGGGCCTTCAAGGTACCGAGGAGTGCCCGCGGAGTGTGCGGTGAGGCGAAGGTAGTCGGCACAGTTATGTTTCTTGTGTTCCTCGGCGGCATCCTGGGCATGGCGGGGGCCGCTGTCATTGAGGGGGGTGCCCCGCACATCATTAGTGTGAATATTTTGGGCTGCCTCGGTAGTGTCATCGATCTGCCGAGGAACCTGCTCTCGTCAGCCACCCTCCAGAAGGGGGTCGGGCTGGCGCGCCTGAGCTCAGGACATCGGATGGCAGACATCGTTCGCAGCGTGGGCGGAGTCGCGGACACTCCGAGCTCAGCTCCACGAAAGTACCCGTTCCTTGACACGCAGGCTTTTGCACTGCGGGCAGCAGACCGCGCGCCCGAGCTCGGAGCTGATGGCGAGCTAGCGCAGTACGTGTCTCTCCTCTTCCTCATCATTGTCTTCCTCATAATACCTCACCGCCATCATCACTCAACGCTCTCATAGGCCAGAAGCGGACATGGGCAGACCTCAAGGCAAGCTGGTGCACATAGGCATCGTCGTCCTCGGGTTCATCTTGTCGCGGCCTCAGCAGGCCTCTGCAGAATTCGCTCGGGCCTCGATCTATCGCGACAGCTAAGGAGCAGGCCATCCAGCGGTACGTGGGGGACGAGGACCTAGGTTTCCCATGCTTTGGAGCAGTCGGGCTGGGGTTGTCTCTGGCAGCCACTGCGGGTCTGTCGAGGGCCCTCGGCTGCCTGCGCGCAGCCTGTTTTGGCTCGAGCCGCAGCTCTGTCAGCGGTTGCAGACCTTCCATTCACCGTTCGGGTTTGACACCCAACCTTTCCGACAGTCAGTTTCATGATTGGTTGGCGCTCATGCTATGGTGCGAGCCTTTGCAGGGCGGAGGGAGGAAGCTTCCCGGAGCCCAGAAGGCCGCTCAGGAGCTGGACGAGGTCAGCTCGGACATCTCGTCGGAGACGCTCGACGCGACGACAGCGGGCTCGCAGGCGGCAGCAGGCTCGATGGCCGAGCCGACGAAGACGCAGGGCTCTCCCACCAGCGAGCCCCAGCTGAGCGCGACGGGCTCGGCGACGCAGCTCGACGCGGCAATGCCTCATGCGCCGGCAGCGCCTCAGGGGCCAGGGCCATCCTCTGGCTCAGGTTCACCGGGGCCGCGGACGACGGCGGCTCACACGAGGCATTGGCCAAGAGCAGTTCCACCGGGGTTCGGCCAGCCTCCGACGGCGCCTCAGATGCAGCGCGCCAGCCAGGAGAAGACAGCAGCAGCTGCGGCTGCACCGCCCCCCCCGACAGCTCCGGGAGCGGCGGGGAGGACGAGGTCAGCGCCAGCGAAGCCTCCTCCGGTGGCTGGTTCAGTTCAGCCACCTCCGCAGTGCAGTCACCCCCAGCACGGTATTCGGCATCACGGGAACCAACGTGGCAGCGGGAGCAAGTGCTCTCTGCGCGGCACTCGTCTCGCGTGGACCCCGAGGGCGGCAGGCCAGCAGGGACAACATCAGCCTACGGCCGCAGAAACAGCTCGCCGAGCAGCCGAGGCAGCCCAGGAGACACTGGAGTTTCTGCGGTCAGACCCGGGATTCTGCGAAGGGGGCGCAGCTCTCCAGACAGTCAACTCCCTGTCACAGCTGTTGCAGGGACTGCAGTGGCAACTACAGGGACTTCCGGAGGGAGTCTGCTCCTTGGGGAAGGTGCAGGAGGTCGTCGACAGGATGTTCCAGGTGA